ACTCTCTGCATTTCTCCAGCGCCAGCCTCAGTGTATGAGGCATGAGGTACTAGTTTCTCAAATACGAAGTAAGAGAGAACTTAATAATCACATGATAGGAGCACTATGCCTCGATAATTGTCGCTACCTGATTGGTCCCCTTTCTTGTGCTGTGGGTAGATAATTCCCCTTTTCTACTCCTCAGGCATCTTTCTCTTCCTCCCATAATTTCAAAATGAGGTTATGGAGTTCCTTTCTTAGTTGCATTCCTCCACAGGGTATATATATATATATATATATATATATATTATATATATATATATATATATATATATATATATATACATATGTTTGTGTGTGTGCGTGCGTGCGTGCATGCGTGCGTGCGTGCGTGCGTGCGTGTGTGTGTGTGTGTGTGTGTGTGTGTACACTGACAGGCAAAAAATTCCATCCACTTGATTTTTTCATGTTTTCATCTAAAAATATTTCTGCTTTGGAGTGGTCTATTGTTTTTAATGAATAAATAGGTAATCTTTGTGTTTGTTTTCAATTAGGAATGTTAATATAGAGGACAATAACCCTTATTCCTTAATTCAATGAAATGATTCTAGATTCCAATGTTTACTTTCTATGGAATCCGAATGTTTATTCAGTATCATTTGTCCAGTGCCGTTTCTTGCAGCACATTTCTTAGTCTCCGGCTTTTAATTTTTTCAATATTAAGTTTAAAAATTCCTCTTAGTGCTGAGGATGTTGCGCGTGGTGTGGCACTTATTGATGATGGGCGTTCCATTAGATATGCAGCTAATGCCATCGGAGTTCCATATGAAACTTTACGAGACGCCGTCAGGCGTTTTCGGGAAACTGGTTCTTACAATAGAAGGCCCAGTTCTGGACGGCCTAGGGTAACAGAACCACGGGATGACCGGTTTTTGACTTCGAGAATTTTACGATACCGGCACCTTACCGTTGTTCAAGCGATTCATCAGCTCGAAGAAGTTCGAGGTGCGCAAATTTCTTAACTTACCGCTCTGAGAAGATTAAATAAGTATGCATTAATGGCTTTTCGTCCAGTAAGAGGACCAGAGTTGACCAGAACTCACAGAGTAACACGGATGGCGTTTGATCGAGAACACAGCCATTGGACTATGGACGAATGGAGTGCTATACTTTTTACAGATGAGTCAAGATTCGCTCTTCGATCTCCAGACGGGCGTGAAAGTGTGTGGAGAAGAAGAAACGTAAGATATGCAGCCTGTAATTTTTCCCAGAGCCAACCTTTCCAACGTGGTTCCTTAATGGTGTGGGCTGGGATTTCAATGGAGCGCCGCACAAAATTGTTTGTTGTTCGTGGAGGGTCTTTGACGGCCATTCGTTATGTAGATGAGATTTTGGAACCTCATGTGTTGCCTATCCTCAACGAAATCGGCGATCGTTCTATTCTAATGCATGATAATGCACGCCCACATGTCGCCCGCATAGTGCAGACGTTCCTTCAACAGAACTATATTGAGGTTTTAGCCTGGCCACCACGTTCTCCAGATTTGAACCCCACTGGGCATTTATGGGATAACCTTGGAAGACAAATAAGAGCGTGTGTAACACTTCCTGATACACTGCAGGACCTTGAAAGGGCTCTTCGGGAGGAATGGGCTATCCTCCAGCAAAGATACATTTCCCGATTGGTGGAAAGTATGCCGAGGCGTCTTCAAGAACTAGTGAAGGCAAGAGCAGGAAACACGCGCTACTAAACAATGATGTAATTAATTTCTTTTAGAATAATAATGGTTCGTTTTTCAATTTTTTTTCTCTAATCTTTCTTACCCAATCACATTTTGATTACTAAAGGTAAAAAAGATTATAAAATTCCATAAATACTAAGTATTATCTACAAATACCATATATTATATACAATTACAACTTTACAGAAATATTTTTAGATGAAAACATGGAAAAATCAAGTGGGTGGAATTTTTTGCCTGTCAGTGTATATATCTATATATATAATATATTAATTTAAAATATTCTCCTTTATTACTTAACATTTATTATCTCTGTTTTATTCTTTCTCAAGATTTTTTTCATCCTCTTTCAATCAAACTTTTTGTTTTTAACGAGGTTTTCCCGGGCCAGGGGTTGTGGGTGGGGATTTTAAAGACGCCTTGGCACCGGGACGCGAACTCATGACTATTTTTGTATCATTAATCATATATCATGTTGTCGGGCAACGGTGGTGGTGTGCAAAACGCGTTAGCCCATTTGGCCACCCCGCCCACATTTATGAGTAATATATCTCTCGTCCATTATTTAAGCTTCCGGTACTTTAGTTCAAACTTTGTCAGTCAATCGTCAGAGATGACGCAACAATACATCTCCCCCCTCCCATGCTACCATATCTCCACTCTATTCCAGCAACTTCTTGCAGCAGGTTGGTTTTCTATCTTATTTCAGTATTCTCCTTTTTTTTTCCTCCTTCCTTTTATTCCTTTTCTCTGTTTTAACTCTTTATTCTATTATATGTTGTCAGTACATTTTGATAGACTTTACAATATCTTAATTTTCTATCTAGCTATTCTATTTACAATATCTTAATTTTACTATTTATTTTTATTTCTTATATAACTTCATATTCCTTTTTTCTGTTTTACATTTTATTCTAAGATTACCATTTTAGTACTTATGTCACCTTATTTTGATTATGTTTACTTCATTATTCCACACTTTGTAACGGTTATTATTATTTATTTCTTAGTTCTTGTTATTGTCATTATTCTACCCACTTCATTTTACTTTAATTTTTTTTACCTACATTGTTTATGTTTCTCATACCTTGTTATCTGGTTCTTTTCTTAGCCCTGATGAAGGCCTGAACTTCAGGTCGAAACGTCGGCAAATGTTAAAATAAATATTATTATTTATTTTGCCTTTTTATTTCTGACTGATCACCCCAACCATCCTTCTCTTCATTATTCACGACAGTCAACCATCAACCCACAATTATTTATGAAAATACTTATCCACTCTAAGGTTGGTAAGTGAAAGCTGTCTGATGGTGTAGCGCCGTATTTTTTTAATTTTGGAGGGCAAGATCACCTTTAGATTGACCAGGGGCTTCATAGATAAGAAAGAATTATCACAAGAAAAGTCGTTGTTTAGGATGAAACAATGAAACTAATAATTAAAATATTTAATTAATTATATTACAATGAACTCCTATATATACATAATTGAAATATAAAATAAAGTATCTACAACATTCCAATTGGAAATTTTATTTCACAATAGAATGTTTAACCAATTTGAATTAAAAGTTATATTTATTTTTTGTTTTTCAAAATAATGAAAATGAGCTTTACATTTCAAATATCAGTCACCATGTAGTAGACCATTTATAAATTGATTTGAAAATTGATCTATATTTCTCATAGCATTAGGACTACAATTCATAATAGTAAGGTTTTAATAAAACTAAAATATTCATGAAAACAAATATAAAAGTAAATGTACATAAATAAATACCATAATAGTAATATAAATGACTAGTAATAAAATTATTAGCTACTATGAAGTTAAAATCAAAGTATCATTAAACAAAACAAGTCTTAAAAGTAAAATTAAAAGAACTTAATTTAATTTTGCTGCTAACTGCTTTGAACAGTCCATTGCCTTAAGTAAATTTTACTTTTAAACACAAAACTATACATATTTTATAGGTTATTATTAAATGAAATGAGAGCATTTATTTTATTAAGTAATTTATGCAATCAGATAAATATTAAATTAGAAAAAGTGAAAATAAATGCAAATTGTTACTGAGAGTCATGAGTTATATTATTTACAAAACTTTTAACTTCCATAAACAGCTATTATCTTGGGAAAATTGGCAAATATTTGGGAAAAACCCAGTAACTTTTTTATAGAACAATTACAGATAATGGTATCAAAATTAATTATCAGTATTCTTAGAATTATTCTTTGTGACATTTTATTTCACCTCATTTGACACAAGGTATTAGTTTTTTAAAAATTAATATAATAAAAATTAGTATTTTTAAAATTAATATGAAGTAGGATAAGACTTAAAAACTAAAAAACAATGTTCTTAAATTTATCAAAAAATATTGAATTGTTGCTAGTTTCAAGATAAATTTTATGACAAACAAAACCGATATATTCACAGAAATAAATATTTAAAAAAACATTGAATTGGTATTGGCTCTTTATACAAAACAACTATGTAAATATAACTATAAACACAAAAAATAACTGTATAAACCGTTTTTTTTTTTTTTTTTTTTTTTTTACAAAATCACTGTATTTGTTTTTAGATAACATAATACAAAAAAAGTTTCCAAATAATTACTAGAATGGTACAAAGAAAACACAACTTGATGTTGATTTTTCCTCGAAAGTAGGGTAAAAAAAATTGACAATATCTTAAACGATTTTGATATTCAGATACATTCATTTGATTTACTAACCATGAAAAATAAAAATAAGATATAAACTTGAGAAAGTTGATCTTCTTTTAGTTCTGCCAGTAGTTTAGTTCTATTATAATAATGATATAGAGGTAAAACAAAATAAATTACACAATTGCTATCTAATCTAGTTTCCTTTTTTATTTGTAATTAATAATTGTAAAAACTGTTTGAATGAAATAATCAATGGAGCTAAAAAGAAAAAAGTACGGCATTAACTGAAAAATACTTGAGAAAGATTTTAAGAGTTTAATCTAAACAGATTTATAAAAAATTGACATTTTTTAAATTTAAAGTATCCTACAGTAGAAATGTGAAAAAGTTCATTAACATGACAAATGGTGTAATAAATAAATATTTTGTGGGCCCTTTGTCAGTGCTGTTAGATAAAAAAAGGCTAGCACTTGACTATTTATATTTAAAAAAAAAAGTTTATATATATATATATATATATATATATATATATATATATATATATATACACATATGTATACATATATACACACATATATATATACATATGTATACATATATACACAGTGCCAGCTTTAGGGTGGAGCAACCAGGGCAGCGATCTGGAGGGGCGCCAGGTGATCTTCCGGCTTCACTCGCCACTGGTTAAAAATGTATTAAAATAATTAATTTTGGCCTATCAATGATGTAACTATATTTGAGCAATGTTTAATAAAATAAAATTCAAATATTAAACAATTAAAGAAATAAATTTAAATTTTAGGAGAGAGGAGAGATGAGGTCATTGCCCAGAGGTGTCGAATCTCTAAGGCCGGCACTGCACATACAGGATATCCAGTAAGCAGAGAGAAATAATTAAAGGGGTAATAACAGACATCAAGAGCTACAAAAAAAGTATATAAACAATAGTCCACTTTTCTGGAGAAAAGTGGGAAATTAAAACTTTATGTTATTTAAAATGTCACTTTTTTGTTGCATAGGAAGTAATAACTAAAAAATTATTTTATTTAAATAATAAATAATTTCTCCATAGTAAACTGAACAAAATTTAATACAAATTTTCATTTGAAAGTAGAGTTGGTCATTTTTAAAAGCATTTAAAGAAGAATTTTGAGCAGCTAAACTAATCTAAGTTGATTTAAAAAAAATCATAAACAATTAGCAGTTTTTTTTTATCAGTACAATACTACAGATACCCAACTTTCAGAAAAACTTCTTTTAATAAGCTTTAAGTCAATATTTATTAATTTGAGGTTTATTTGGGAAAAAAAAGTTGAGATTCACCTCATATGTGAAAAAACAGATTTGATTTTTCAAATCATATTATGGTCAACTAAAAGTACACATGTTTTCAGCGAAAATGTCTATAATAAATTATTGCAAAATTTTAATTTTTTTCTCCCATGACCTGGAATGTATTATAATAAACACAACTGTAAAAATAAACATTTTTTTATTTTAAAAAATATTTAAAATAATAATTATTCATCTAAACAATTATTAAAAATAAATATTTATCATCTAAGGTGATAATGATCCTTTGTTTTTTATTAAGTACTCTATAATAATAGAAATTGATCCGTATTTATAAGCGACCAATTAAATGTTCAAAGTCTTAATGTTTATGTCAAAAAGGATCAATTCATTCAAGAGTGATCTATGTAAAAAGCAGTTTCATTATCGCTTTGAATGATAAATATTTCAAAAATCATTGTTTTTAACTTTTTTAATGAGTAAATGTGCATTTATGTTTATTTTAATACACCCCAGAATATAGAAAAAAAATAAAGCTTTGCAGTGTGTCAAATCACCACATTTTTTTACATAACATAAGGTGAATCTCAACATATTTCATAATAAATCTCAACTTTATTAATATTGACTTAAAATCTTACTAAGCAAGGAAATTTTCCTAAAATTGGGGTGTCTGTAGGATAGTTGCAGTGATGAAAATTTTTTTTTTAAATAATTCATGATTATTTTTTAAAACTGAACTTAATTAGCTTAGTTTAATCATTCAAAAGCCATCTTTAAATGATTTTAACAATGGCAAACTCTACTTTTGTTGGAAGTAAATTTTGTCTAGTTTACTGTGAAGCAATTGTTAATAATTTAAATTAATGTTTTTTTTGGTTATCACTTCCTACTCATCAAAAAACGTGACTTAAAAAAAAACTTAAACAAAACACAAATTTCCTACTTTTCTGTATTTCTGTCTAGTTATGGGGCACCCTGTAAATATGTACATATCAATATTACTTAAACACACAAATGAATGATTCTCAATTCAGAAGCAAGTTTTAGTATATCTAAACTTTTATTCAATTAGTTAAATCAAACCTGATTTTTTTATCCTACCTGATTTTCTGATTAAATATAAAAAAATAGAATATTAAAGAATAATTTAATTAAATGGTTGTTCAATTAAGCTACTGAAATGTCATTAACATACAGTGTCCCACTATTTTTTCTTCTTGTAATCATGTTTTGTTTTTTTCTCTGTCCTACATTAAATGGAAGTCCATTTTTTCCACTCATAAAAGATAATCAAAGCATTTCTAATCATGCTTTTTTTGTCTTCTAATTTTCAGTAACAGGCAAGTATGTTCACTTTACAAGTGGAAGTATTCTTTTCAAACCAAGTCTTGTCATTTCGATGTCATTAACAAGTAAATAAATTATGAGAGATAAAGCTTAATTAGAATTTTTTCCATGCCTAGTATTAGCACTGAGCTGAAGGACCAGCTGACAACGTTCCTCAGTTGGGGAGCCATTCTCAAAGCATTTGTAACATAAAATAAAATAAATAAATAAATAATTTATATTTAACAAAATATATTTAAGTAAGATATATTACTAAAAAAAATTTATATTATTTATAGCGGTTTAAAAAAAAACATGTACCACAACAACCCATGAAGGGTCTGGGGTTCAGTACTACTTAGGGAAAGCACTGTTTCTAGTTCAACGGTTGTGCAAGGAGGTGATTTGACCGAGATCACGCTCAACGACCAGGTTTTCCCCCTTAATTAATTATTTAATTAAGGGTTCCCACTTTATAGAGGCTGGGTATGCCCAAGGAGGGTCTCCCCACGGCCAATGAAACAGATAAATAAATTTTCTGCCACGAGCCGGGGTTCGAACCTGAGACCTTTGCATTGGAAGCCCAGTGCCCTACCACTGAGCTACCCCAATCCCCTTATAGCGGTTTTGGTGGAGTAAAATACATGGAAGTGTCATTACCACACCCAAATAATTGTTTCTCTTTTCAAATTTTTGTACCATTAATTTTATATAATTAATACTAAATCTATTTTTTTATTTAAATAAAAAAAAGGATTTTACTGCTTGAAAATTTATATTAAATACCAATAATAATTTTTATTTTATTTTAATAAAAATTTTAAATAAAATTATTTTTATTAGATGACTATTTTAAATTTTCTATAGATATAAGGCACTACCTACTACAAAAGTTTCACCCAATTTCAAGACCATCATCAGTTAAATATTTCATCTGTTTTATTTTTGTCAATAATATTAATAAACGGTCTTAGTTATTATGAAAACGTAACTTACAACCACAACAAATTATAACAAGTTTATTTTTTATATAATATACAACACAATTCTTGTTCACAAAATTACTTAATAATAACAGTATAATTTAATAATAATTCCTTAAATAAAATTCTCTCAATAATACAAGTAGAGCTTAAATTATTTTTATTTTTAAAAACACTGTTCTTGCCTTCTGTTTAGCTTAAGTTTGAATAATGAAGGCAAATTTCAATGTTCTTGCTAATCTAGACTTAGTATACTTTCTTTGCTTTTTGAACTATAAACAACATTCACTTTAATAAATTAGACTACACTATCAAATTATGATAAAAGTATGTAATATAATTTACATGAACAACCAACATGAACAAGTATGTAATATAAGTACATGAACAACCTCAGTGCTCAAACCACGCCCTGAAGATGACCCACATGTTTGGGTTGAAACGTTGGCAAAAATAAAAAAAATTTAAAAAAGACTGTGTCCTGAATATTTATCACCCATAATATAATTTATAATAGATTTAAATATTTTTTATACTTGCATGTATTTGTTATTCACCAAACTTTTTGAATTATCAACTTTTATTTCCCTCCCCACATCTGGAAGCCTAGCCCAGGTCCTACCTGATCTCACTCAATCCCTTGTCCCTAAATCTTAAAAAAATGTATTAGATGCAATGTGCTAGTCATTACAAAAAATCAGTTTTGATTTTTATCATTTCATAAGGTTATATCAATAGAAGGTATAGTCATATTTAAAAAAAATTAATATTAAAACAATTCAAATAATTAAGTCAACCAAAAACATTGCCTATAATCTGAGAATCATTCACATTGTTCATTATACAAAGAAACAACGTAAACACAAAATAATAAATAAATAAACCATTATTTTCTATACATCATTATAAAATGAGACTATAATTTATTATGTACATCATCTCAACTCAAAAGAATATAGAAAAGTTTAAAATAAAACAACAAAATCATAGCAACACCTACATCACATAAAGACTTTCAAAATTACAATAACAAAATTAATCAACAAATATATGAAAGTTTTTGCAGAAAAAAAACACAACTGCTTAAAAATTTTAACTGAAAAAATAAAGTTTAAAATAATCTAAAGAATATAACAAAAATTTAACAAAATATTTAAGAGTGAAATGTTCCATTTTTGCATGGAAATACATAAGCACATGAATACATTAGCTGAGAAAATAAGGACATCAATGTACACTTAAATTTACAAAGGTATATTATTCAACATTCTTCCACAAATCTAATATTTACTTATCTACATTTATATACTTCTTATCTCCAACAATAATATTCAGAATACTCAACAATGGAAGTTTCTCCAACCTGTATTCCTCTTATTGTAGATTCAAGAATACTACAGTATCATTAGAGATTCAAAATTACATTAAGACTTTGTATTCACAACTTGTAATAAAATAGATATACAACATAACATTTACACATGTTTTAAATGTTTTTTTAGTTACAAATTTATTTACATGGTAATTTTTCAACTCCCAACATTACAAATATATTTATACACTTATTTACCTACAATGAACTTTATTGCTTATTAAAAAAAATATAACTTAGCTTAACTGCTTATTAAAAAAATTACAATTCACAAATAATCTAGAAACAAATGTAATGCTACCGTTGAACAGAATTTGCAGCATGAAAAAATGAATTCAATGTCAAGAAAAAAATGAATTAAGTTATGAAACTGGACATGTAACAAATTTTTGTTAAACAAGTTGTTAGAAAAAATATAATCCAAAGAATAATGGTGATAAATTCTAAAATGATTATGCAAATGCCAATTCCAACCAATAATATTTTTTTTTAGGAAATTTTACAAAGTGATCTAGACTTTCATTTGAACATTACACAAACTACAATAGATATGACCTCTATAGAAAGAAGAAATAAAATAAGTTAAACATGGTTACTTTTAATTATTGTTTTAATAAATAATTTATTTATTTTTCATTTGTTTACCATCTTTGAAAACGAGTATTAACCCGTTGAAAAGGTCTGAAATTATTGCGGTATGGCCTATTTGTCATTGGCATTTGAGGAGAAGGAGGTACTGGAGGAGGTGGTCTCGAAAAAAATAATGACTGTTGGGAAAAGTTTTGAGAAGTATCAAATTGAGGAGGAGGTGGAGGTGCAGTGAAAGACTGAGACCAAAGTTGAGGGGGATGAGGAGGAGGCGGTGGTGGTGGTGGAGGTAGAGGAGGTGGTAAAGGAGGTTGTAACTTGGGGGGTGATGGGTATTTATCTAAGTTAAAATCGGTAACACTGTTAGAGTCAGCCTTAATAGATGGAGGTGGTGGTGATACATACATATCAGAATAAGTCTTAAACGGAGGAATATTATTGTTGCAATTGTTAGAACTTGATGATGGACTCATAGTATAAGTAGAAGGATTACTATTGTATGAATTGTTATTAGTAGTATGGATAGAGTTATTAGGATAAGCAGTACTATATGAGGTGGTACTATTATTATAGGATAAAGAGGGAACTGTTTCAGGGAGTAGTGTAGGTTTCACATCCTTTTTATCTTCCGGTTTCGTCTTAAAATATGAGTCTTCTTTAGGTTGATTATTAAAACTGAAATTTTTGGTTGGAGGATTTTGAACAGGGGCACTTGATACATCACTAGACCTATTAGTTGGAGGTTGTAACAAATCAACTACATCACTTTTTATATTTTCATTAAGTTTTTCTTCTTCATCACTCATCTCCATATCAACATTTTCAACATTATCTTGGCTAGGAGCAGATGATGTCTTTTTTGAGCTTTCTTTAGTTCTATAATCTGTATCGTCGCCTGCCCAAGTGGAGCTTGCAGTTTCAGTCAAGTTTATCAAGTTTCGATGATCTACATCACTAAAACGCATATCGATATCTTGGCTTAAAATGTTTTCATCAAACACAGTAGGGTAATTGGCTTTTTCATAAAGTGGAGGAGATTCAGGCGTTTCCCAAACATGCTCTGGTTCATCACTCCAGCCAGAAAATTTTGGAGGATGAGAAAGATCACTTGTTGCTACCTGACTTTTCGGTGTTTGCGTTGTGTTTTCAGAAGGCATTAATGTTTGCAACAATGCTGAAAGTGTTAACTGCTGGCCCTCAGATGATGTTATAACTTCAATGTTGTTTCCCTAAAAATTAACAATAAATATAAATCAAATAGAAATAAAAAATATAAATTTATCCAACTTTTAAAAATTGTCATGTTAATACATTTAGCAATAGGAAATTATGGCATCTTCACAGCTATTTAAAAAAAAACTGTATTTATGTAAATTAAATTAATGAATTTAATATAATTTTCTAATATTCCTTAGTTCAATTTATTATTACTATTACTAGATAAATTAAAGTATTGTAGAACAGTAATAAATGAAAAAACAAAAATTAACTTCCTTCCACGATTAACAAAAACTAAAAATGTTTAAATACATAAATATTGGGTAGGCAAATAAGTCCTTTCGGTTTTTTCTCTTTATTTTAATGTCACTACTATATACTTTTTATCTGATGAATTAATGGTAAGGTGGATTGTTTATCCTGTTTGTAATATGTCAACAACTATATCTGCTAACTCTTGTTGAAACTAGCTTAGTATTATTTTTGCTATTGCCCTGTGAATATGGAAGAAAATATCATTCATTATCGGCATATTTTGTTATTTTATTTTAAAAAATGTACGCGGGCTCCAGAAGCACATAGAAAAATTTGCAATGTTTATAGGGATGATGCCTTAACCTAACGCACCTGTCGACATTAGTTTGCCAAATTTCATTCAGGAAATTTTGACATCAATGATGCACAATGGTCTGGTCGTCCGCATGAAATTGAAACGAGCAATGTTAAGGCCATTGTTGATCAAAATCCCACCCAATCAGTGCGGGAGATTGCTATGGCCCTAAATGTGTAGCACACAAGTGTAGAAAACCATTTGCACAAGCTGAGATATGTTTCCAGACTTAATGTTTGGGTCCCTCACATGATTTTTCTTTGAAAATCACAAAAAATGTTATAACTTAAATATGATTTTAGCTATCTACAAAAAATTTAGCAGGAATTTAGGGCCACATAAGCAATAATTCAGCTTTGCAATGGGTATAGTAACATCAAATTTGGAGAACATCCTGAAGAGTTATGAATGATCAGAAAGGTGTTGTGTTCCCCCAAGACAACGCTAGGCCCCACATCTCATTGGTTACTCACAATAAATTATTGAGCCTTGGATGGAACCTTTTGCCCCACCCTCCCTATTCACCAGACCTAGCTCCAAGTAACTACCACATATTCCGGTCTGTGCAGAACTCCATGAACAGAAAGAAATTCCAAAAGGAAGAGGGCATCAAAAACTAATTGAACCAGTTTATTAACAATAAACTCCATACATTCTATGAACATGGCATTATGCAGTTAGTGGCGAGATAGGCAGTCATATTAAATAATGGTCAATATATTGTAGATTATAATAAATTTTAAGTCAGTAATACATCGAGTTTTATTTCACCCTGAAAAACCCAAAGGACGTACTTGCCAACCCAATACATCGGGTGAGAAAAAATAAGATCGGAGTGGAACACACTTGTAGATACCCTATTCTCCACCAGGAGTCAACAGCGATAATAATAATAATGAGCACTTAATTTAGATTGTTTAAGAGAAAACTAATATCTGCATAGTGGAATATTTTTGCAGAATGTATATTAGAACACTTCTATTAAAATAACCGACCTTTCCAGATTTTCATTATAGGAAAAATTTGAGTTCATCGAAATAGTTGTTAACGGACATCTTTATTAATAGTTTTTAAATAATTGATACTATATTTAAAATTTTAAATAATGCATTTCACGATACTGAAGGCCTTACGAAAAATCATAATTTTTGATGATACATTAGTTAGTAAGATAGTTTACATAAAATAATGATTATTTAACAGCCTTTCTTTAGCATAAAAATAAAACTATTGAAATAACATATTTTATATTGAAAATAATAGAAGCAAGATCTATGATACAGACTTTTATATTTATTTTAAGATATTTTAATAATAATTGATAAATAGTTTTAATAACATAACCTAAAAAAAAAGTAATTGCTTAGCACAAAAATCTATGAAACACTGAGATCAATAATGTTTCAGAATCAAAACTGCAAAGTAGCACCTGTATTCCCTAGCTTGTAAAATTCCGACTTTTAGTATTTCTTCATGAAATTTCCTGACTTTTCTAGGTTTTCAATGTATGGTAGCAACCCTGATTTTATTATTACATCATCTCAAGTCAATAAATATAAATGCAAAGGGAAATAAATTATCAATTAAACAATTTTAAGACATTAAATTTTATGCATGCATTACAGAACCAATGCAGTTTTTTCTTAAAATGTATTTAATTTTCTGAGATCATGATGGGGAAAATAACTTAACATTTATGACAACCTTTATATAATCTAAACTTCTAATTATTAGTATGACATTTTTTTGTTCGAATTTATTGAATTTCAATATGCATGTCATAATAAACAACAAAATTAATGTAAACAAAATAATAATTTCTAAATTAACAGAACCTCTAGGAGAGATCAATAATAAATGGAATCTAATAATCCACTAAAATTTGGGGTCCCGATAGTTTTTTTTGTTGAATTACTCAACAGCGTTAGGGAATCACAAGCATAACAAGGAGAAATACGCCATAAAAACAGATACAGCGGGACTTAAATTTATCCTAAAGCTCATATTTTATTATATTTTTAAACTACCTTCTGAATAATTTTTCACAGAATAATATATTTTAATTTTAAATTTGTATATGTCACATGAGAACAGTAAGCACGTGCAACAAATATTTATGTAAAATTGGATGCACCACACCAAGAAAATGAAAACAACTGGAGGAAATTGAAAGAAAGAAATTGAGAATTAAATTAATGAGTTAAGAAAATATACAAACATAATAATATAAAATAAATAAAAACAAATCAATGTTCATATTTTTAAAAATAATTGTAATAAAATAAAAACAATGTAAAGATGAAAAATGGTCAGGATGTGAAAAATTATGTTTACTTTGACCACACATCCTGAGTATTCATCATCATTACAATATCAATACTCAACTATACATCCATCTCTGAAAACTATGTAAGTATATTAAGAAAAGTGAAGCGATTTTTACCAAAAAGCTAACAGTTATTAGCATAACTTAGCGGTCAGTGAGTGCCTGGTACAGTTTATGATGAAGTTTGTGAGAAGATCAAGGACAAAGTTAATGGCCATGGAACTAGCGAGGCTGAAGTCATTCCATAAATGTGGTTCTTTGGACTAAAACTTTATCCAGAAGGTACCATTTTGAAGCATAAAGCCCAAGTAGTAATGAAGATTTATAGATCAGATTTTAATTTATAGATCAGAGAAAAAGCAACTATAGCATAATGGTTTAATCCCAATGCAAATTATTCATTTGATACCCAGTGTTACTGCAACAGAGAAGATGCTCTTAGGTTAATTTGACATAAACACGATGTCCCTGTATGTGAGCTCAATGAAACCATCTACATTAAAAAGCCAGAAAGTCTAGATGTCTCAACAGAGTCAATCAGTCATAAAGCAGCTGGAAAGCTTAAAAGAAATTATTTGGTATGGTAGCCTTTAGAGACAAATAGACAAAGAAGTTCCTGTTTTACAGATTAACAATGCTGTTGCTGATCACTATCACAAAACCAAGAAAATCATTGCAGAACCAAAAAAAAAAAATCCAAAGAAAGCATAAAACTTCATTCAAGAGTAGTTAATTAAAGGCATGTATGCAATTGATATGGTTTTGTCAGTGCATCAAGTTTCAGATGTGATGAACAAGCCTTTAGCAGCTCCTTCGTTGCAAATTTTGTGTAGAAAAATTGAACTTATATAGATTCAGTTAAATTTTTATAATTTACTTTTGATTTTAATATATTTATTGAAATTTACAGCGGTATTAGTTAAAAAATACAAGTTAATTTGAGTTTTGTAATATGGTATGTATGAAATGAATAGAAACTAACCATTGGTAGCACTCCAATTATAGTGCTATATTAGAAGGTCCCGGGGCCAGCTTCTTCTCAGACACCTCGGGTGGTTATCAGGAATCAAAGAGGAAGCAAGGTAAATAAGATTGTAGTAAAAATAGATGGAGTAAAAATAAGATGGTTCAAATGGTTCAGAAGTTTATAATGGAACGATAGGTATCTGGATTGAGCCAAATCGGACACATATGGGACATTAAGGTCATTATGGATGATTTTATTACTGATAAAGTAAGGAGCACTGAGGATTTTATGAAGGAATTTGGATTGTAAAGATTGGATACAAGAGGAGTTTTATGGCTTATTGGAGCCCCAAAGCTTAATCCTGTTAGTCAAAATAGGCCTAATTATAGTCATATATATGAGTCTTTTGTAATTAACTGCAAGTTTAGAGCATTTGTCTAATAAGTGCTGAATTAGTCGAAAACGTCGAGCAGTTTCTTGTCGCTTCAGTCTGGTATGAGGATTATAAGTGAGACATTTGTCCAGGTGGAGTTCTAGAAACCAGATTTGTTTAACAGGGATAAGTGGGATGTTATTAAAGGATATTGTAGGACAGGAAGTCATAGGTTTATGATGAAGGGTAAAGGTGATTTGATGTGATTTATTGGAAATTATTTTAATCCTCATTTTGAAATCATTCTTCAAGACTTGTGATGTGAATTGAAGAGTTTGGGATGCAATAGTTGGGTCATTATTTACTGATATGACACATGTGTCTTTTAAAAGTGTTTAAAATAAAATTTTCATAGAAAACATCACAGTTAATTTTCTCAAATTTACAATGGCAACACAGATAGTCGAGAAGCCAAGGAAACATTCTAAGATATTCTAAATATTCTACAAATATAAAGCTACTGATACCCTTAATCGATAGTGCTTATTGGGTAGAACTAGAATTGTCAAATCTTGCTGTCCAAACCTGGTGCATTTTGGGTGAAATTTGGACTCAAAGAAGTCAGATTTTAAGTTCCCATATAATGGAAAGGTATACCTACAATTTAAATAAAAGGCATATTACACCCACTAATGCATGTTGTAAGCCTTATCGGAAATCGACATAATTGGGTGTTTTCAAGACTGACATGTTCAAACATGTCAAACTTTTTTTTAGTTTCATTTAACCAAATGGTAGACGGATGTCATCTAAAATATCCAGCCAGGCAAGGTGAGTAAAATTCAATCATGTACAATGAAGCAGGAGAGTTTGCATGGAAACTGACACAAAAAGCAATTTTAGTTGAATCTACTTAACTCAACTCTATTTTAAAAAAAGAAGGTTAAATTGATTTAACTGTATTAGAAAAATGTAAAATACAATTTGAAAAATTTCCATTTGACCAAAATGTAAACGGCTAGGAATTCTTTTAAAATATTTAGCATAGCAAGGTAGTTGAAAATCAATTTCATATGACCACCCAATCGCCCCTTCCCCAATAAAAATAGAGAGGGGTGAGAATACTGTTTTGCTCTCCTCCCTAAAATATACCAGAAGAACAAAAATACAAACAAAATCAATAACAATTAATAAACATGAATGAGTAAAATGGGTTAACTAAAATCAATTGAGAAAATAGGATGTTGATAAATCGCTAAGCTGAGGTCTAGAAATAAGTAAGCAAGTATTTTACCACGTCCTATGCTCCTATTATTGAAATTTTAGTTTATATTCAAAGATAATTACATGTAGCAACATATCCTAGGATTTTATGATTCATTCATGTGCACTCTTCCATTTTTACGCAATCACATTTCCCTTGGCAAATTTGAAGGATCGGAGAATTGAGGGTTCATCTCACTGTCTCAAACCTTCAAATAAAAATAAAAATGTGTAATATATTCAATTGATTTGGTAACATATTTTCAAATATACCCATGTGGAAAAAAAATAAGAACTAATTTATAAACATGTATAAGTTTAATTTTATACATAGCATTACATTGTTCGTTTTACAATTATATATATTTGTTTTACAATATAATTATATTGATTATGTTAGTTATCACGCATAATTTTCATACATAATATAAACTCCCGTGAATTTTTTGTGGTTGTCCATTTTCCCCCAATTATAGAATAGAAAGTCTGCGCCTATGAGCCATTTACTGGCCAGTTGAATGGAACCAAAAAATTGACACATTCAAGCATTTAAAAATGCACCAAATGACATCAATTTGTGCTATAGCTTCTAACTTTACTGGGTGTAACATAAGTTTATGAAAATTGCAAGTGTTTACCATTCCAATGAATGAAACGTCAAAATCTGAACTATTTACCCCAAATTCCATCCAAAATACAGCCGATTTAGATGGCAAGACTCGATGATCCTAATTCTACCCAATAAGGATTATCATTTAAGAATATTGGTAACTCTATGTTTTCTTGAATAAATTTGTCATAAGTTCTTTATCTGAGCCTCTGTAACCTATCCTAATATATGTTATTGCTGTTTCAGGTTTTATTTTTTGTGTTATTTTTTATAAAGAGTTTCCTAATAAAAGGTTTAATTGTAACGAGCAATTTACTTAAAAACAAGTATCTAATTCCACACCAAAATGGTGATGATTACTGACTTAATTATCGTATTGGCTTGAATATAGTTCAGCCACCATTTGGAAAATAAATTTTAGGAAAAAAATACGGGAGTAGAAAAATTGAACTCCTTAGAAGAAATCAGTTTCCAAATTTGATACACATATCTCAAAATGAAGCAAACATATTTAAATTAGGTACTACATAGGTGAAGAGCTGAGTGACCGAGCTGGCTAATGTGTGTAAAACACATCTAGGACTGCAACCTGATAAACCGAACATTACGAGTTCAAATCCCAGTGGGTGGAGGACTATTAACTTAGGCATTAATTTCCTGAACTCTCCCCTAGCCCAAGAAAATCACATATAGCCTAAAAGATGAAGAAAGGGGGGGGGGAGGGAAGAGGTATTATTTATATGCTATTTATTACACGTATTATTTATATGCTGCATAGATAAGTAGTATCATGTCTTAAAAAAAAAAAAAAAAACAGAATAGGGCAAAATTTATCTTAAATAATAGATAACGAATGACTTATTCATATATTCAACTACAAATAATGAATATATGAATATTTCTGTTTATCGTTTGTCTAAATAGTAAATAAATTCAAGTTATCTATTATCTTTTTATTTTCTATTCAAGTTTTTCAAATAAATTTAGAATAATTTAATTATAAATTTCTTTTAGCAAGCCTGTCAAAAATTGGTGTTCAAAATTTTCCAAATCATCATTCGATTTTCTATTTTTATATTGTGAATGGATGCTCAGTTTTTCACCATTCCAGCTGTTTAGGGGTAGGGAAAAATGAGGAAATGGTGTAAAATTTTTCTGAATTATCATTCGCTTTTCATCTTTTATCTCGGGAATGAAGGATCGGTTTTTCACTGTACCAAAAATTTTCCGGTTATATAGAGGTAGGGGAAAATGGGGTAGTGGTGTAGACAAATTTCTGATTTTTCTTCGATTTTCTTCTTTTATCTCATGAATGATGCTCAGTTTTCAGTTCCTACAATTTTCCGACTGTTTAGAAGAAGGGAAAATGGAGTAATATTTTCTTAATGGGGAAATGATATAGACAATTTTTCTTATTTTCTTTGCTTTTCCTCTTTTATCTTATGAGTAGATGCTCGGTTTTTCACTGTTCCAACTATTTTCCGATTGTTTAGAGGTAAGCCGATGCAAACAGGAATGGTACAAGTTTTTAGTTATCTCGAGAATAAAGAATCGGTTTTTCACCTTCCCAACAATTTTCTCAATAACTTAAATCAGTCATTATTTTCATATAGAGCATTCCTGAAAACAGATTAGTGGGCCCAAATACCAAAGAAATTTGTAAACTATCAAAAGCTCGATGCACAATTATGCAATCTTAAACCCGACAGTATTTCCATAACATAAAGAGCACCCCTGAAAACATATTAGTGAGCCCATATATCGAATAAATCCAAAAAGTAGCAAAAGCTTGAAGTGCAATGTTAAATCCGACAGTATTTCCATATAGAGTGCCACTGAAAACATATTAGTGGACCTATATTTCGATGAGACAACAGAAGTATCAAGAGCTCAATGTGCAATCCATAATTCGACATTATTTTCATAAAAAAACAGCCAGAAAACACATTAGTGGACCCATAAATATCAAAATATATCGAAGAAGTCTGAAAAATAGCAAAAGCACGATGTGCAATTTTAAATAAGTAAGTATTTTCATAATGAGCGCCACTGAAAACATATTAGTGGACCCATATATCGGATAAATCCGAAAAGTATAAGAAACTTGATGCGCAAATCCGACAGTATTTTCATAAAAAGTGCACCTGACATAATAATAGTGGATCTTTATATTGAAAAATACCTAAAGTTGCAAAAACATCATTCGAATCATATTTTTATCTTAAATAACTTAGAATAGATAGTGCAGGTTATCTGTAAATAAAAAATAATTATTTGTCCAAAGGTCATGAATAAAACTAACAAATAAAAATTTATCTATCATTCGTTATCTAGATACAATTTTTAATAACACCCACCGCTGTAATAAACCTAAATTGGAATTGCAGAATTGAGTTTTAAAACATTATAAGTAATTGACTGAATATTCTTAGAATAAAAAAATGTTTTTAAAATGTCCCAGAAAAATCCCTCAACTTATATTTTAGCAAATATGGTATTTCAATTGGGCAAAATCTAATAATGATGTTCAGTGAATATACTCAATATGTGAACAATATTTTCAATTATTGCATATTTATACTAGAAAATGTTAGTTTATGCAACTGCAGGTATCACAAATAAAGATTTTTAATTTCTATCTTTAATAAAAGATGAGGTGGAGTTTTGGAGGATTGATACAAAACTATAACTGGTTAAAGTTTCTTGACATGATTAGACAAAGTTATTTTATAAATATACTTCTCTTAAGTTTTATCAGAAGTATAATTTAGCATATAGCTAAATGGAAACTCATTATCATCAGAAATTTATCAGGGAAAAATACATTTGACAATTTTTCATTCCCCATTTTAGATTGCTTATTGAAGAAACCATATTACTAAAAACAAAACACACCAGTTAAATAATATGTTCATATTCACTTAATATATAATAAACAAAAATTAAAACAAATAAGAAGAAAATATATTATTAAAATGTATGTTTTAACACTTAACTAAAATACTAAATGTAAATGAAGTGAAGGAAGGAAGGAATCGACAACAAAGTCTATACAAGTTATTTGAACAAAAAATTAATAAAAAGGAAAGTAACTTAATAACTCTCGCATTCACAACATTAACAAGCACATCACAAGAAATTCTAGTAATACCTGACTAACATTAATTATCTGAAAATTATTAGCTGCAGCTGAATTCAGAAATGAATGACCATGATGAAAAGTTTCAGCTGATAGAGCATCTGCTGACCCATAAGGTGTATTACTGTTTGATTCAGTTTCAGCAACATCTGGTTTGAAATGCTTTTGAAGCTTCGGTGGTATATACACTTTAGGTTCATCTATTTGCCCACAATATGCATGTTGGGTAGAATCTACAGGCTCAGCATCAAAATTAGAGTCTGGACTATATGGAGAAACTAATGTAGTTTCACTATCTTTTTTCACTTCAGGTGGAGGAAAATAATTATTAGATTTGTAATCAGAAAAGGACTTAATGGTGCTACCTACAAAAAAAAAAAAAAAATAAAAAAAATAAATAAATGAAGTATAATAATCAGGAACAGTATTTGAAATAATTTAAAATAAAAATATACACACATTAATACACAGCTACAATGACACCAATAAAAACCTATATTATACATATAAAAGATATTTTAAATTTTTTTTATACAAATAATTTAGAAATTAAATTTAGAAAGTGATTGTTGGGAAAGAACAACTGATAATAATTCAGGTAATTGTGATATTTTAACATACATTAAACCTTGATATCAATACAACTACCTTAAAAGTTTGTCATATTAGATATTTAATAGATTACCATTTGTATAATAAGGAACAAGGTGGTCTGGGGAGGCAGTCATAAAATAGAGGGAAACTATTTATTTTACCACCGCCCCTCCGGACCATCGTTTTCCTTGTAAAAGTTTAAATCAAATTATCCATAGTTAATCTAAACTTACTAAAAGTCTAAAGTAATAACAATTAATAGAAGGAACCATTCACAATCATCAAAAAAGAAGAAGTTCAAAACATTAACATCAATGGGTAAAGTGTATGGAGAAGAAAAATGTCAGAAGATAGAATAAGGTGAATAGTGCATTATGTTAAAAATGTTTGAGATAAGGAGAACTGCAGTGGTCAACCTTGCCTTTTAGACTGATGAACTAGCAATAAAAATGAATGAAAAAAATCATGAAAATCACTTCTTCATTAAGGCGAAACCTGAGCTTTAAGTTTTTATTTTGTTTTTTTATTTAACAGCTCTGCAAAGGGAAGTGTTTGATTATACACATAGAGTCCAGACCTGGCACCGAGCATTTACCACCTATTTCCAATGATATTTCACAATATACAACTTGATAACAAAATAGAACTGCATGCAGATGTGAAGCAGTCGTTTGAATCTCAGGTGGTTCTACTTTGACAGTATTCAAAAGCTGGTGTATTGTTATGATAAGAATCTCACTTTGAAAGGTGGCTATTTAGAAAAATAGTATAAGAGCATGCTTTTCAATGTATATAATATTTTTCTCTAGATTTTTTTAAAATTTCAAAACGTAAGGTACATTCTGGACAGCCTTCGTGGTTTCAGAATTAAATGGTCATTTTCAAAAATTGTAGTGTAAAGCATCTTAAATTTCCAATACCTCTTGTACATTAGGCAGGAATGAAAGTTAATAGCATAAGTCAATAAATGAGATTTTATGATTTGTTGGTTCAGATAATAGTGTTTACATATGCTAAAGGATTGAACATTAGTAACAAAATTCTTTCAAGCCTCAGTAGATGTTTTTAAAGGATTCTGCTAAGAGGGCCAAGGCTGCTCAGGGAAAGTAGTACTACCCATAGGTGAATCTCTTAGTTTAAAAGTAGATTTTTTATTAAGAAGACAAAGAATATGATTACACTCTGACAGTTGATGATAGTAAAATTGAAGCTTGGATAGAAAACATTACGGAAAATGAAGTTCCCTGCCAAAGAAAAAATAAAGAAGCCTACTAGATGTACAACATTTATTTCTTAGTCTGCTCGATTATATCATATTAAATGGCTAAAGTATGTCATGACTAATTTTTAGATTTAGACGAGAAATGAGAAAGTTATATTATGGGAAGCCAGAAGAAATTAGGACTAGGAAAAAACAGAAGACAAGATGGATGGATGTAATGGAGAATTTGGGAAAAATAAATGGAATATCACTAAGGCATGCTGCCGAGTGACAATTGGGGAAGGTAACTGAGCAGGCCCAGGACAATTTTTCACTCATTATTGGTGCAACTACATGCTTTTTTGCACCAATAATGAATAGGAAATAAACCACATTCTACATAAAAATGAGATGAAATAAGCAGATTTTTGAACATGAGAAATAAAAATGTAAAACAAATCAGACGTATGAAAAACTTCAGATAATACCACTAGATGTTTTGAAATGGATAATATATTTAAAAATAAGTTTAATAACTCACTTATTCCATCTTTCGGTTCTGGTGAAGGAGAAGGAGCATTGACATCAGGAGATGGCATCGGACTAGGCATTGTTTCAATTTGTTCTTCTAATTTACGTTTTACTCCTCGCACTCTTGTACCAAAACATTTATAAGCCTTTAAAGATACATATGTATATTATATGTATGCTTATTCATATAAAAATTACAATTATAGTAAACTTCTTATTGATATAAAAAAACTAATTAATTGAATTTTATCCAGAAACACATATGAAATTCTCTATATTGAAATTGAACCGATCACATATCAATAATATACACAAGCAGTATTTATTTAAGCCAAGGCATAAAATGGAATTTATGACTTATTGGACTAAGTAAGTGAATAGCCGTGATATTTAATATAACATTGTTAAGGAAGGACATACTTTATAGATTGAATTATTTGAAAAAACAAAAAGATAGAAATAAAAGAAAAAACTTGCTGGAGGTATAAGTAGTGAACCACAATAACCTATGGAAAATTAAACTGATGGAAGAAATAATATTTGATAGGAAAATTATAAATCTGTAAATTATAAGTCAGTTGGTTACCGATTTCAATCAATTTTTTTTTTTTTTTTTTTTGTGATACTACATTGTGACAATGTTTGTTTCAATGGGCCTTAGGAGTCAAGAAAAAAAAAAAATTATACAATTTGAATTTTTATTTGTTTTTTTTGCCGTTGCTTTGCCCATATTTTAATGTAATTATATACTGATCACTTTCTTTATTATGCAGAATAAGAATAAAATATTACCTATAGTACTAAATATATTATAAGTATCCTAAATTACAAAAAACACTTCTAGTAAAGTAGTCCTAGTAAATTTTTGTAATGAAAGAACGAGTTAGATTCGTTTTTAATGTGTCCTTTAAAACGCTTTAATAAGATTTTTTATATAAATCATAAAATATAAATTTAAGTCTTGATTTTCTAGGCTTTTTTATTTTATTTATTTTGTTTTTTTCGCCATTGACTAAAGCATTCATAACTCTTCAGGATTTTCTAGAATTAAATTTTAACAAAACCATTTGAAAGCTGAATTACTTGCCTTCAATAACTTTTAGATTTTATACCATTATAAGCTAGAATTTAAGAAAAACTTTTCAAATGCTGTAATTGTATATCTTTCATCTAATAGATGTCAGGTCTGTGCTATTCCGTGTAAGTTTGTGTGGATTTTTCCGTGTGGAAGTGGATTCATTTTGTGTGGATTAGTTGAGTTGTCTTTAAGTTATCACAGTCAAAAACATTTTGATTGTGACCCAAAACCTAGGAGATAGGCAAAAATTATGTGCAAACTATTTTTGTTATTGATTGCTATGAAAATTCATCTTAAAGGGTTTTATGAGTTGCAAAACACTAATATCAATTTCACTTTTCCCTAAAAGAATCTATACTCTAGATAATGGGCCATTTTAGAAAAAAACATATATTTGGTAGATAGCTATAGTATGAGTACAATATTAAAACAAATTGCACCAGCTGACGTAACAATACGAGGATAAAGAATTCCTTCTGCCATGCTGCTTTATCAACAGCAACAGCTCTATTCCTTCTGACTCCTCCCAGCTGCTATAAATCTGCCTCAACTTCGTCCAACCATTTCATCTTAGGATGTCTACATCTTCACTCACTCACAAATTAAAAATGATTTCATTAAAGCTCATAGAGTACTACATCTATGCCATACTTCAATAGTTGCAGTGGTTTCCACTCAACGCCAAGAGCTTTAGAATTTTTCATACTGATGAGATCTATACATGTGTGGTCCTGATTGATAGGATTGTTGAGTTGACTGGCATTTATTGTTGAGTTCGCGTATCGCCTTCATCCAACAGTGCTTGTAATTCCCCATCTTGAAATTTTTTTCACTTGACTTGGATGTTCTTTGTCTTCTAAGTCAAAATAACCACTTTAGAATTGTCTCAACATATGCACACAAGCGTCTAGCATTAGTACATGGTCACCATAAATTTCTACAAGTATATGACAGCTTTCACTCACATTTTGCTTTGCATTGAACAAGAAAAGCAGTATGTGTCATAAATGATCCTAATCTGCTTTAAAACTTGACATATTTACCATACGAAAAAATATTAGGCTAGCCCAAAATCATTTAAACATCAACAGTGTTTTGAAAGGTACTGTCATAGCAACAAAATAACATAAGAGGTTAGAGTGTGGACCAATCCTCGTTTAGAAAAATTAAGAATTATTAACCACCACAATACCTGATAGGCCATATTTTGATATAAAGAAAGTTCTGGAAATAAAAAATTTTGAAGTTAGTTAAATGAACCATTAATAACCTAAAAAATAATTTGATAATAGAAGATTAATATCCCTAATGATTATCCAGAACTTGATTCCTGAATTCATAAAGAAAGTTAGAGAAAAACAAAGCAGTGGCAATAAAATAAATATTAAAATTTATAATTATTTTTGCAAGAAAAAGTATATATTTATATATTTACATTCACTACAACTTTAGCTTCTTGAAATTCTCTTTCATAATATTGTTCTCCAATCTCAAGCAAATCAATAAGCCCATGGCGTTCCTTAATTTCAGCCTCCAAAGCCTTTATGTATGCCTTGACAGTCGCTAAACCCGCATCAAAGTCAACTAGTAGTTCATCTCCATTTTCTCTGTCTACAACAAAAAAATTGACATCATTCGAATATTTGGCCATCAGTTAGTTTTTTTCCAATTCCAGCAAAGAAAACATGTAATGATAATAATAATAATTAAAAAAAGAGGAGCTCAAAAGAGCAAGTGGGACAGGATATTTTTCTATAACTCGATTATATTAAGATTTTTAAAAAAGCAACTTAGTATAATTTTTCTACCATAAGACGGAGGAAGGAAACAAAAAATGCTTTTATTCTTTCCTTAACCAATCTCATGGTTGGAAAAATAATATTGAAAAAGGGATTAGTAGAACATATGAACATTGGTTTTGGGTTGGTAACCATTCCATATACACAAATGAAATTATTAGATAAAAAAGTATTAAGTTGTTATCTGACAAGTACCAGCTGAGAGTTTAAACATTATTAAAATGCTCGAGGATATGTATACCATGTATATGTATACCATATTTAACGTTTAATTCACTTTTGTTTATAAAAGACAATCTGACTTCTTAGTTACACCAGAGATATTGGAGGGAATCCAGCTGAGAAATTGGATGGAGGAGTCATAGTACTCTAGTTTATAGAGCTATAAGATAATTAAAGAGTGGAAACTGAAGAGGGCATTAATGAACAATACCCATACAAATAAAGCTGATAGAGCTCGATGACATCAAACTGAATCAAGGTATTTCCTACTTACTCATGTCAATGGTTGTAGGTTGTTATTTTCTAGCTACCAGGATAAGTACAACTGCTCCAGGAAATGGGGTTGGGTAAACACCATTAAAGACTATAGCAGTTTCTGAAGTAACTTTATTGGGCTGCTGGATTATGAATTATAACTATAAGTGTTATAAAAAAAATAATTTTGGAGTCCTTCAATGAAGGGTAAAAAGTAACATAACACTTGCAGTTCTTGGGTGTGAAGGGGGATACACAGCTATAGGGTGTCCAGATTGTTGAGACACATGAGTAGTTCATCTAGTATGAACTAATTCAAAGGAATTAGCTACCTAGGAATTTCCTAACAGCTGTACCCAGTTTCTCCTCCATGAAAAGACCAAAAGGAGGCAAGATTACAACTTCTCCTTACCAATTATGTATGTAAATATAAATAAAATTCAGCCCTTTTCATTATAAATCTATACACACTTCTAGTTATATCTAAGAAAACTAATCAGAACCTTTCTGATAGAAGGAATGTCATAATCCTATCAGTAAGTATCAATAATGCAATGAATTCTTTAAGAATGAGTCAAGTTAACCCCAAATTTGCAAAGGAATAGAATATTTGTAGAGATTAAGAAGGGATTTTTATTTTTTTATAATTATAGTAATTTTTTAAAAAGAAAAGTTGGAGTGATCAGTAAAAAAAAAAAAAGTAAAAATAAATAAGCATATATATATTTCCCCTTCATCTATGTTGTAAATCAGGCTATCTCACCTTCCAAGGACAATTTTTTAACCGAATTTCCGAACTAGCAATGGGCAACTCCCCTGCTCCCAAAACTCTCCAACATTGTTCTTAACGAACTACTAGACTCCATTATCCCTCTGTTTCTAGACGATATCATCTTTATCCGAAAATACGTAGATGGCCTCCTTTTAGTTCTCAATCCAGATAAAATTCCCGATATCCTGTCAGCCTTCAATTCTTACCATCCTTGCCTCAACTTAACAGTAGAACACAAATTAAATAATCCTCTCACTTTTCTCGATCTTCTCATCATAAGGAATCCTAACAATACCATATCCACAGACTGGTATACTTAACCAACTTAAACATGCAGACTTTTGAATTTCCAATACAAACATCCTTATCACCAAAAAATTAATGTTGCTAAAAATCTCATCCACCGAAGTCTCTCCTTCTCTGATCCCCAATTTTATTCCATCAAACCAATATTCAACATATAAAAAAGATCCTTTCAAATAATAATTTCCCTCCCTTTATCAACATTTATAAGTTTATAAAAGACAAAAATTGCTCTTCCTCAATCTCAACCTCCACTGTTTCTTCACAACCCATTTTGGTCTCCATATACAGATCTCTACCTCATATTCTTAATCTTTCTGACAACATAAACAGTTTTACGATCTACCAACCCTAACTTACGACTTGCCTTTAAATCTCAAAACATACTTTCTAATTTGTACACATCCCTAAAAGATCCTGTTCCTCTTTCACACCACTCTCATATCGTTTACCGTATTCCGTGTTCCACCCCTAATTGTTTTTCATCTTATATTGCTGAAACCAAAAATCTCCTAAAGGACTGCCGCACCCAACATAAATATTCTGTATCTTCTTGCAGCTTTACCACCTAAAATTATCCAAACACTCTCTCTCCCTAAACCATACATTTGATTTTGACAAAACTTCCATCCTTGCCTCCGTTCCTAACCATGACAAACGACTCATCTCTGAAACCCTTCAACTACAGACAGTGAATCTAAGAAAAGAGAAACAAAACTTATCCTTGGCCTATTCCTAAATTCTGAATTTATTAAAACATTCATAGCAGCACTTCTCTATCCTCGATATTCTTCCTCTCAGTACTTCATCTATTTTTTATTTTTATTTCTTTCTTTTATTTTATTAATTATTTAATTTTTATAGTTTCTCATACCTATTGTTATCTGTTTTTTTCTTAGCCCCGATGAAGGCCTGAACTTTGGGTCAAAACATCGCCAAAAATAAAAATAAATATACTTATTTATTATTATTTTTTTTTTTTACTGATCACCCTAATCATTCTTCTCTTCAATTATTCACTACAGTCAACCATCAATCCACAAAAAAATTAAATATTTTGTTTAAGAAACTCAAACAATATGAAAACTAAAATACTACTACAAAGAGATAATTTCAAACAGTTATATACAATGATTTTCAGAAAATTAAAAATAATGAAAAGGTAAATGCAACTTATTTTTCAGCAAGACTTAAGTATCTTAACATAAAGGAAATAAAAACTAAAATGAAATAAAACTAGTTTAGAAGAGAGCATGCTACTTACCACTCCACTGGGACGCTACTTTCTTTAAAGCACCTGCAAAGAAAAACCAAAATTGGAATTTACAGGACTATGAAAATGAACTTGAATAAGTTCTCACTGTTTCTCAACAGATGACAGAACCAGTACTATGAGCGCTTCATATCAGATGGTAACACAATTTTCCAAGAACTACTGTCGCCTTGGCCTTCAGTATACGTTAGTTTGCCACAGTGTGAGCAACGCTTTTCTTCGTAGTTCTAAAAATGTCAAGATTTGTGCCAAATTAAGAGTATTTGTGGGGAAATTTATTACACCATTATATTCCAAAGAAATCTGCAGCTGAAGCAAACAGAATCCTTGTTGAGACTCACTGTGAGCATGCTCTATGTGTGAGTTGAAGTTTTTTGCATCATACTATGACTGGTGATGAAAAATGGATACAGTACAATAATTCTAAACTTAAAATATCATGGGGTAAGCTACGCTCTGCTTCAACATCATCAGCAAATCTAAATATCCATGGTTCGTAGCTTCTCTGCATTTGGTGGGATCAGCATGGTGTAATATATTATGAGCTGCAGAAACTGAATAAAACTATCAATGGAGGTTGCCACTGACTACAATTGATGCGTTTGAGCCGACTCCTAAAGGAAAACTCTCCCAGTACCTCTGGGCTGCCCGCCAAACCGTTGTTTCAGACAACCCATGGATTCAGGCCGTATATCGCTGACTTTGGCCGTTCTCAATTAACGCAGTAATCTGAGCTACTACAACAGGACCCAAAACTATTTTACACTCTTAAAAATGTTTGAAACAAATGAATTTTTTTTTTCAAGAAAAAAAAACGCAAAAGCAAAACCAATGCGATTGAACAGGCAACTATAGAAAACTGATATGAAATCCACGTTATTTTTTAATATTTTGATCCTTAACCCTAGAGATAATTATGAAATCTTCTAGAAAGGTTTAATGCATGGTAATCCCCTTTGACCTGTCATATACTTGTTATAACTCTAGGCTCAAAAATATTTCTTTAATTTCCAGTTTTTGTGTAAAATCCAAGGTGCACTGGGTTTTTTGACCACCAGTTTATATATAGAGATTTTTCATGTATTGTACAAGAGTACACACCCGCAGCAATTGTAGTTGTGAAAATATAAAATTATAATTCATTTACAAAATATATATACGTAGTTTCTTGGATATCTCTGAAATATGAGTCATTTTTCTGACGTGGAATTCATATGGGACCACTGAAACCAGAAAGATGGGATAAAGTATTGGCTAATGATAGGCAATAATTTGAGTGACGTGTTTTTTACCACTTACTTTAAATAAAGCATTGATTTTCACAAAAAAATAAAACAGCAAGAACTTATTCAAGATTCTAATAGTATTTATTAAAACCTAATTATGATATTAAATAGAATTTAAACAATAACATCACTTGTCAAAAAAGATGAAAGTATACAATGAGTAGTCCTAAAAATGATGATTATAAGAGTTGAGATTAAATCTACCATATTTACCAATAGTTTCCCAAATGTAAACAAACCATTCAATAGTCTAAAGCACTTATCTTTTAGGCAATATTATTTCCAGATGTTGCTGAGTCCATGTTTACTATCTAGCTATCTATCTCAGCGCAACCACTAGGTGATAATTCTTGGCCTCCTCCAGTCACCTCTGCTCTGTGCAGCTGCCATCCAAATTCTGACTCCCAGGATATAACCGTGGATCTCTTGCTACACCATCTGACCATTTGAGTTTGGGTCTTCCCATGCTTCTAATGCTGTGGAGAGGTTCCTTCAGAATCATCTTAGGGATGGCTATGCCATCCATCCTAACCAGCCCATCTCAGTCATCCAAGCATCATTTTCAGAATAAAATCTTCATCAAAATTTTAGTAAATTAAGGACTTCTCTTGTGATCATATACGTAGTTTTTCTTTCATTTACCTCCAACCCAAGAACTCTGGCGGCCTCCAACAGAGCTGAAAATCCCTCTCTGACTGTCTGCAATGACCGTCCCACAATGACCACATCTTCCCATAGGCTAACAGCTGGACCAACTGACTGTAAACTCTTTTGTCAAGTTTATTAACCTGAATCCCTCACTGCCTTTTCAAGTGCTAAGTTAAACAGAAGGCATACTAACGCTATCAGGGATAATGAATCCTTCAAGTATCTTGAACAGTTATTCTAGGTTAATGCTGTAGAAAGCTGCCTTGAAGTTTACGAAAAGATGATGGGTTTTAATATGATATTTATTTCCTCTCTCACGGATTGTTCTGAAGCAGAATATCTGTTGTAGATCTTCCTTGTTTGAATTCGCACTGTCCATGTTTACTAAAAGATGTTTAAGCATACAATTCCTGTAGTTAATTTTGAAAATTTTAATACTACATTTTGAATAGAGCAGTTAAATTGTGAATACAAAGTTTTTCACATGCAATCACATTAATAATGTCAACTTTATCTTTCAAAATTAACTGGACACAAGTTGATAGGATGACAATCAAATCTATAGGAGAATTAATAACAAAAGGTTAAAGCTGTAACCCCTAATCCAAAATCTACTTATCGGTATAAATATTTAAACCAAGCTATTATAAATTGGAATATGAGTTTTCTGGAATATGGTTTCTGGAATATGAGCTCCACTGAGTTCTTGCTTTTCAATTAAAATCCTTGTATTAAGCCTGTCCACATCCGTTATAGAGATAATCTGTTATACAGCACTGATTTATAATATAAAATCATTGAAATCAGATGGGGATTATAAATTTATCCACTATAGAGTAAAGTCTGTTATAGGGAAGTTTCACTGAATATAAATAGGAATAAAATGTTAAACATAATTAAAATGTGGTTTGAATAATTGTAATTAAACTTAAAAAGATTTAACTTGTTAAAATAAAAAGTCATTATATAATATATCATTATATAATATACCTTTAAGAGAGTTCTGTAATTTCTCTATGTCAGTAAATGAAACATGACTTTCATTCAAGGTATTAAGTTTAACATCAGTATCATCTTCTAATTCTTTGCAACTCCGTATCCTTGAATACATGACAGATGGCTAAAAAACAATGAAAAATAATTCAGTAAACAGTTAATGAATATATTTTATTTTTCAAAATTAATCAGCCATACCTGAAATTCTTGAACATCAATACGTGTTGTATTTTTATGTACACGGCTAAGTAGACCACTTAAATCTACTAAAAAACCTTCATCATATATTCCTCTTTCATTCCATATTTTGAATAGTCTTAGTATTTTGTTTCGAACACTGTCCTCTCTATAAAACAAACATGTAAATGTAAGGGAGTCTATGAATGAATAACTACACATCCATAAAAATTATACATTCAAAAGAAACAAAAGAATGAATTGTAAAAAAGATTAATTTTTATAGCTAACCATGGTCAGCATAGAATAGTAAACCTAATATACAATTAAAATATTACCGAGTCAATATGAAACTTTTCCAACCTGAAGATAGGCACTTCAAAATCACTCACAATCTTTCTGAACTAAACACTAACATTTCCAAGAATATGTTTAATACACATATTATGGAGAACATATTCAACATAAAACAATTTAGGTAGAGAACTGGATGCAATACAGAATGATCTGAATGAAATTCATATCTGCCAATTGGCGGGAAACTCTAATCTAAAGACTTGCCACTAGAATGAAAATCAATACTTCTAAAGTTCCTTACTGCATGAATACTGTACTGTTAAATTAATGAATGATGAAAAAGCAATATTTATCAGAAATTACCCAGATCTGGATAAAGTGAGACATTGAATTAACATTGGAGGATGAGTATCAAAAATGACAGAGCTGATCAAACGTAAATCTATTTATGCCTAAACAGTCGAGATCTCAAATACAAACTACTCACTGCAAACTAGAATAATAACCATGAAAAAATTTCAATAAAAGTAAAAACGTTGTGAAAAAAATTTATTAAATATGTGCACCATTGAAATGAGTAAGAAGATAGCCTAACACCTTGATAGGTTAAAACAAAATTACCTATTTATGCTAATCAGAAAAGAAGATAAACTGTAGTGGAATGCAGAATAAAAAAATGAGTTTTTTTTTTAATTAAAATTTTTCAATTAAATGAGATATTGTTCTTCAAAACATTACAGTTAATATATTGTACTCCAAACAAAACTAAAATGAATGGGACAAACCCAAGTGCCTATTAGTAGGAGATATGGATTTATGCAAAATGGAGCATAAATTATAATGGACCATTTTTGCTATATTATATTCATAACAAAGTAAAAACGGTACAATATTTCAAGGCACTCAAAATAATTAAAAGACATATAATTAGAGAAAGGAAGGATGGCAGGAAATACTTAAGTGACAAGTAAATTAAACCCACTACAACTTTTCATAAAACTGAGACAGAGTCGTCCCTCGAAATCCAAAAAATAAATTTAACAAAACAGTAAATCAGATATTTTAATATCACCTTCAGATCTCTAGAGACACGTATTTCTACCATACAAACAGTAGTTTAAGTGGAGTTATATTAAGAAGGTAAATAGGAGCCTTAATATAACATAATAATAACAATTTGGTATGAAAATAACATAATGTTTAAAATTCAATGCAAAATATCACGTACATTCATTTGAAAAATTGCAGCATGATTCTAAATGTTAAATATAAACTAACAAGAATATAGTAACCAACCTGACCATTGTTGTAGCTTTTTGAAGGGCTGGAGCAAATGAATCCGTAAAAGGAAGAGATTTCCGTTTACTATACTGGATAACGTCATTAGCCAGATAAAAAAGTAGTAGACGATGTTCTGTCTTCACTGCAAACATTATAAGATAGAAAAACAATACTTGATCTGGTAATCATGATTGTAAAATCAAATATATTTATAAGCTAATTTCTTCGATTAAAGACCTTAGTGGCTATTATAATAGAATAATAGAAAAATGGAGTGAAGTGGTATACTGGATGATTAACATAAACATTACTACAAAAAGAAAAGATTAATTCTTAAAAAACAATTTTAATTAATTAATATAAACATCACATTTTGATACAATAAAAAGCCTGTTATTAATAATAAATAATTTCCACGATATTAAGGCTACATATAAATATCATAAATACTACGAAAAGATATTATAATGTGATAATACTATACCTCTTTTTAGTACATTCAACCAAGTAGATACAATCTTTCCATGATGTTCTTGATGTGATAAACACCAAGATGACAAGTTTGCAATGCTGTCATGAGTGTCCTTTAAGTACAACAATTTCTGTTCAAATAAAGCCTCATTGAAAGAGCCCATCTCTTTAAATAATATAAAGAGTCTACAATATATAAAAAACCTGAAAAAAAAAGAAACACATTTTATTCGAATTGTTAATACAATAAAAAGATAATAACCAATATTGAAAATATATTTAAAATTGGTAAATGTTAGAAATATTTGAGTTTTATGAACAATAAAAACCAGCAATTACCAATGAACATACATAGTATACTAAGAAAAATGTAAATAAATAAACAATAATCATATAACACTTAGGAATACAAAATCTACATTTTTTTTCAATTTATTTTAACATAAAAATAAAACAACTAAAGAGATGACTAGATAAAAAATATTGATTTTCAAGTAGGATGTTGTTTACTGGAAGAGGTATAGATTCAAGATTGTCAACTAATGATGGATTTTTTTTTCCACAAATTGATGCAGGATACTTATTTGAAATATACTAAAAATTGAGATAAAAAAATAGGGAGGCTGGGGTAGCCGTACGGGCTAAGGAGCTTGCAATAGGTAATCAAAGTTAAGCAACGTCAAGTGTGGTTAGTACTTGGATTGGTGCCCGCCTGATTTGGGTGACTGTCCACCAGGGAAAGCCATGCTGCCCGAGTCTCCCCCCCTCCTGGGTATGTGAGACCCTCCAGCCTACTGGAGACAACTCACATCGATCGGGCGTAGGACTGATGACCCTACACCGTGTACTTAAATTGGGAATCGGGATGTGGTTTACCGGGATGTTAATAGCCCCCCTGAAGTTCCGTCCAAGAACGGTCTGTTTCAGGGAAAGAAATATAGGTCCTCATGCGCCTGCTGACTCCGAGCAGCCATAATCTGTGGATCTAGATTCCATCCAGTTTGTCACTGTCCTTGAACCCGAGTGAGTCGGTGGAAAGGACATTGCCAGATTGGACCCAAAGGTATTGGCTACGGAGCTACGGGTGGCCTGCCGCTACACTATGGAGACCATGGTTCGTAGCAATGTGAGGTTTGGTGACCCCCTCCAGGATAGCTGAGCTCCCACAAGCAGCATACATCTGTAAGGAGACCACATCTCGGGGCCAAAGATCTTCATGGTCTGTAGTGTCAACCAAAAAAAAAAAAAAAAAAAAAAAAATATATATACACAAATACACACACATGCACGCACGCACACAATGTGAAAATCAAGAACAACAGTTAACAAATATCATAAAGATAAAAGTAAAAGGATCTCGCCACAAACAGCAAACTGTTTATATAAATTGTAATGTCAACATTACATGGCATTTGAATAGTGGCGCAAAAGCGGTAACAGCACGAACTACGGGGAAGAAGTGGGGGAAGCAAGCTTCATGTAACTCAGAATGTGACGGGCCGCCAGGAGAGAAGGTGATAGCGGCCAAGAGAGGAGGTTATGAGCCGCCAAGAGAGAATGTGACAAGCTGTCAAGAGGGAAGGTGACGAGCTGCCAAGTGAGAAGGTGCCAGCCAGCAAGTTGAGAAAATAGAAAAAGGAGTCCTAGCCGGTTCGAGTGTTGATAGAGGCCACTAGTGAAGATTATTTTATGTTGGAAGAAAACAACATAGCAGAAAATAATTAAGTGGTACAGAAAACGGGACATTCGTAAGTAAGAAAATATTATTTCGCTGGCAGGCGTAAACATTTGGATGAGTGCTAACAATGCCATTTATGTTGACAGAGGGATAGAACCAAAAGTTTAGACCGGTACAAATTATTTTATAAAATATTTTAAATTATAAATAAGTGTAGTTAGTAATTAGTAAATTATAGTTATTAAATGATGAATGAGTGTTCAGTTGTCAGAACCCAACCTGAGAATTGATGTTATGTGTTAAAATAAATAGTATATTGAGAAAGGAAACTCGTTGTTTTGATTTATGTTGACAAAGGGAACGTTACAAAATATATATATATATAAAGGGCAGGGGTAGCCGTACGGGCTAAGGCGCTTGCAATAGATAATCAAAGTTAAACAACGTCGAGCGTGGTCAATACTTGGATGGGTGACCGCCCGCCACGGAAAGACATGCTACCCGAGATTCCTCTCCCCCCTCGGGTATGTGAGACCCGTCAGCCAACTGGAGGCAACTCATTCCGCAGGGAGGTAGGTGAGTGACTCTGTGGTAGAGATTGCTCATGGTCCTCCAGGTTGGGGGTTGGGCATAGGGCTAATAACCCTATCCCGTCAAAAACACCATATTAAGAAACCTAAAACTAGCCTCGGAAAATCTGACTGTCTTAACACGGTAATGACTCTGGAATGTTTGGAGCTTGTACAGACCAGGAGCTGCCCAAACGGTAGATAATGAAGTAAAAAGGTACAACATACCGTTAACAGCCATTCAAGAGGTAAGGTAGCCAGATGGTGGGGAAACCACTATAGACGGCTACACACTATTCTACACCGGGAGAAATGACAAAAATGGGACAGCTGGCACTGGATTTATAGTTAATGAATCGAAGTTAATAAGCCGCAAGGAAATCAGTAATAAACTTCACCACAGTTAATGAAAGGATAAGTGTGCTGCGCGTAAAAGATCGTTGGTTTAATATCACGATTATTAACGTGTATGCACCAACAGAAGAGAAAGAGGATGAGGTGAAGGACGATTTCTACGATTAGTTAGAAAAAGTTGTGAACCAGGCTCCAAAACATGACATAAAATTAGTCATGGGAGACTTCAATGCCAAGATAGGTCGAGAAACCAAATTTAAGCCCATCATCGGAAGCCAAAGTCTCCACGAAACTAGCAATGACAATGGAGTGAGATGCATTAGTCTGGCAGCAGCTAAAGGTCTAGTAGTAAGCAGTAAAATTTCCTGGACAAAATTTACACATCACCTCGAAATATGAATGTTTAGGCAATTTAGTGTTTTCATTTTTTAAATTAAAAATATTGCAAAATTAAAAACATAATAAATGCTATAATTTATTCTAAAATTAACTTAATAACTTGTGTTACAGTCTGCAGCATCGATCATTTCTATGCTTTCAGAAGTTATTAACCAATTTCTGATATATTGTCCGACTCTTGAACAATGTGTTTACATCTTATTGGAAATCAAGTTTATATGTTTTTGTTTTTAATTTTAGGCACGATTCTAGAATCTCATCAATAAGTCAATTTACTCTTGATAAGGTTCATGCTTGAAAATAATGGTTCATATGAATATGTAGATCAGAATAAGCTGATTTTTCAGCTGATTATATTAGTCAAGAATACTATTATGACCTTATAGCTCATCTATTTCTTTAATATATCTTTATAGCTATGCAATAAATACTTCTCTTATTACTTATATTTTAGTTATTATTTTATTGTAATAGGTCTTTTAGCCAGATTTAAGGTTAATTTTTATGAACAATCTTGTTATTCTTAAGGGACTTTGTCAAAGAATAAAGTTGATTCTTCTATTCCCGCTGTTCAAAATCAACAGATCTTATTTTTCCAGGTCTTTTAAAATTTACTATTGTGTTGTTAACTAAGTCCATATTATTAGAAAAATTTGCTAATGTGGGCTACCAAGGGAAAACTTTTTAAAGCCATAAAAGTCAGATTTTTTTCGATCATTTTTTGTTTTATAACCTATAACTCCAAAACACTGGATCAAAGCGAAAAATGTACTCTTTAAGAAATTAAAGAACGTTAAATTGAGTAAAATATGCATACAGCTAGAAAAGAGACATAAGCTAATTATGTTATAAATGGAAAAATCCAAACTACGAACCCACGAGTCTCCAACATATAGGTGAATAGTTAACTTGCTAACGTTTCGCCAATTCAGACATCAACAAGGCAGAAAAACCAAGATTATTTATATGCAGAAAGAAAAAAGGAAAACGAAAAAAAAAATTAAAGTTTTTAATATAAATTTATAAATTAAAATCTTTTTTTTTCTTTCTGGATATAAGCGATCTTGGTTTTTCTGCCCTGATGATGCCTAAATTGGCTAAACTTTTGCAAGTTAACTAATTCACTTGTATGTTGGAGACTCATGCCTTAGTAGTTTGGATTTTTCTATTTATAAGTAAAACTGTGCGTCTAATGAGAACCTAAACATAATAATTTAATTATTTTAAGTTGGTTAATCGATAACTTTGGCCAACAAATGCTGATTTTAACCTAATTTGTCAAAAACTGAGACAAATTACTATTACTGGTCCTACAGCTTGAAAATTAGTTCTCTAAGAGAAAAAACTCATAGAATAAAAGTTAGAGAGCATCAAATTCTGCGTCTACTGAGTAACAACAGTTTTAATGTAGGTCAATTATACCTCTCGAATCGGGATTCGTGATTTCTTCATAAATTTCGGTTTCTTATGATACCTCGTTTCTCAAAATCATTCGCTGCTGATAGGAGGAACAGAGTTCTATATTGTATATACCAAATCCTTACAAGAATAACTCAGTAGGATAGACAACCATATACTTGAAATATTTAAAATCACAGATTTCTTCATTATCACTCTCCAGCCATCATTATTCAACTATTCACTACCGATTTCGAGTGGAGTAAGTGACCTACATTAACTCTGTTGGTACTTAGTGGACATGGAATTTGATGTTCTACAACTTTTATTATATCAGGTTTTTCTCTTAGAGAACTCATTTCCATGCTGCAGGGCCATTAGTAGTAATTCGTCTCAGTTTTTGACAAAATTGCATGGGCTCTCGGACTAAAAGTACAGTATTTGCTATATCCACTCATCCTGTTTGACCTTTGAGTGACTTCTTCAAATTAAGTTCTTCTTTAGACTTGTAGACAAAATAAATCATACAATAAGTGAAATTGGTGCTGTAACATTTATGTCACAAGACTCATTGACTGCTATTGACAAAATTTAAGATGTTTGACTTGTTAATCAGTAATATTTGAAGAAATTTTTAATGTTTTATGTTTTAGATGACAGTGGTAACACTTTAGTACTAATCCAAAAGGATTTTATTTGTTACTTATTATTGCTCATTCATTTTATAACTTTTTTTTTTATAACTCTTCCCTTGAAAAAATTTAAATATCAGCTCTCCTCACACTCTGAATGGAAATAACTCGCCGATTTTACTAACCAGACATCTAAGTTTATTTCTAGTTAAAATAGGAATCTTAATACCTGAATGCAAACAAACCTGTCATCCATATGGCAGGTGAACCTTTGTCACTTTTGATATCATCTTCTAAAATGTGAATCTATATCTTTAGATTATCAAGTCAAGTCAAATTATTTAAGTCAAATGATTTTTTATATGATAAATAAAAAGTCTTCAGGAACTCTCAAATTAGCTATATATGTTAACCAAAATTCTTGTTCAAATCCATCAAAATGTTCTTAAGCAATAATGCTATGAGAGAAAAGATCCATTATGTCAGGAAAAACACTTACTGTTATAACCTTTTGATAAAATTTTACAAACTATAGATATAGGTTAATTGTCACATAAATAAAATGAAGCATTAATTTTGCCTGAGAGTTTAAACACGTTCATTTTTTTTTTCCATAAAATGAATGATCATAATCAATAAAAATGAAAATTTTACTTACAGCTACATTATTTTTCATGGTGAGGCTGAAATTATGCCCATGCCTAAATGAAATCCGATTTGTATCTGGAAAAATAAAATATTATTTATAGAGCATTACAATACAAATATGAGAATCATAAAAAAAAAAAAAAATAAAAAAAAATCAATATTTGGTTTTTAAAATGCTTGTGTTATTACCAATAATCAAATCTATGGGCCAATAAACAGATATGGGCATATTTATATTCATAAAAACAAACATAAATACACATGATACGTATTCACAGCTGTAAATATAAATATGACCGTATTCACCACTTTAAAAGTGAATACGGCTGTATTTACAGTTGGACAAGTGAATACGGCTGTATTCATGATTATTAAAATGAATATGCTTAAATTTACAGAAGTGAATGGCAATATTTTCACACAATCTTATTATTTAATACTCTTATTTATTAAATAAATATTAATTTATTTGTTACATTAGGTATTTTCCAAAATAAAATAAAAAAAGTATCCAAAAAATAAAGTTCTGTCCAGGTAAGAGGTTTATTAAATAAATCTCTTAAAAATTATTGGAATAATGTTAAAAGGTTGGTATTTGCTAATTCAAAATGATGTATACATAAAACGTTTAATTTTATCAAACATAAAATTATAATTATTAATATACTAAGATTATTTGAATTGATCTCATCAGAACAGATTTGAATATACGTGTATATTTGTGTGTGTGTGTGTGTGTGTGTGTGTGTGTGTGTGTGTGTGTATATATACACACATTCGCAAATGTTGTATAATGATAATAATAAATAAATAAAATAATAATAATAAATAAAATAAAAATAATAAATAAAATAAAAATAATAAATAAAATAAAAATAATAAATAAAATAAAAATAATAAATAAAATAAAAATAATAAATAAAATAGAATAATAATAATAAATAAAATAAAATAATATGCTAATAAAGTATGGGATATTTTTAAAACAAAATAAAAGTATCTATCATAAATTGTTTTTTAATCACTTTCTACAATTTATTTTTATTAAAAAATAAAAATGTATTACATTTTACTGCATTAATTAATATATTTGGAACTTAATCTGGTAAATGTTACATTTTTAAATGCTTAAACAAAATAGAAATATCTTCTTGTAAAAATTATTAATCACTTGATGCTTATGTCACTTATCAATGACACAGGACATTTTAAAAATAAACTGCAAAACTAATTAAATTTATGTGTTTCTTGTGAAATCGCTTTTATATCATTACTTAATGGTTTGAAAAAGAAGTCCTATTCAACGTGACTCGTACAGAGACCTTTAATTTTGTTAAAGAGGCGGAACTGTCTTGAAAATATTCACTAAAGTCAAAATCCTGATTCAGACTAGAAGAGCCTGTGCTAAAGGAACAGACTCAGTTTCGCTATTAATTTCATACATTGTTCTAAATGCAAAACTTAACACATTACGCACATTAACACACATAGTCATACCTTTATTACTCACTTTTACTTTATTACTTTACTGAACAGCAGGCCCGGAAAGGTCATTATCCAAATTTGCCTGCCCTTGCTCCTTCCCTAGCTTTATCCAAAGGCTGCCGTGTACCTGTATTCCCCCCTGGAATTTCCAGGGTATCGTTCCGACTGTTGTGCCTACCCTGACCTTCATTAAAGTTATCTTTATTGCCATCAGCAACCCATAAGTAAACAGTGCACCGAAAGGATCAAAGACACAGATTTTCTATTCTGGTAGGAGGAAAGGAGGCGATAAATACTCCCAAAAAAAAAAAAAAAGGTTTTGGGAATTTATATTATGTACAAAAATTACAAGTGATAATTAACGTAACAAAATACATTGTAACATAATTAAAATAACATATAGTAAAACAAAGAATATAATACTATATATAAAAAAAAAAAAAAAAAAAAAAAAAAAAAAAAAAAAAAAAAAAAAAAAAAAAAAAAAAATAATCCTCTAGCTCAATCCCTATCCAGCTCCCACCATCCCTACAATCCCCCTCGAAGGTTAAAACGGCAGTGGCCGCGAGATCTATTGTAAATATGCTTCTGGAGTCCTGGCAATGGCCAGCTTCTCCACTCAAGTCCTGAGCATCTGTGGCTCTAGTGCCCTCCTTCAGCCTCCACTGGCTTTTAATACTAGTGATGCGGCTGGAAAAGTGGCACTGGGATCTCTGGAGTCCTGCTTTGCTTTCCACATGTGGGGAGAAAAGGCTGGCTCGGAGATTCCTGGGCGAATGTATATAGGTATGAATGTGTTTAGAAGTTTTTATTTTATTTTGTTTATTTATTTTTTTATTTTATTTTATTTTTTTTTCTATTGATTTACATTTTTTTTTATAAGTATTATTTATTTACTTTTATATTTATAGTTACTTCTGTATTACTTGTATATACTGTATGAATGAGAACTTTTAGCCTTAATACTTATAGCCCTCCAACAGTGGCTGATTGTATTATTATTCAATAAAAAAAAAAAAAAAAAAAAAAAAAAAAAAATATATAAAAATAAAATGATATGTATGGTAAATTTTTTTTTTTGGTGTGTATGGTTGTATTTAAAAATATGTCAACAAACCAACTGAATATGTTTCATAGTTTTATTTGTATTTAAACGTTTTAGTCAGTGAGATGAACTCATCACTTCATATTTGTTACCGGAAATGTAATAAAATCTTCATGTAAAAATTAAAGAATGTCGTTAATTAATCATAAAATCTTAGGATATGTTGATGCATATAATTATCATTGAATATTAACTAAAATTTCTATAATAGGGACATAGAGCATGGTAAAATACATATGTATATCTAAACATTAGCTTAGTCATCTAGTCAACTTTTCCAATTTCTTTAATTGACTTTAGTTTACATAATTAGCACCCTCCTACCTAAGATCTTAACATATACATAATTATAATTTTATGTTTAATAAAATTAAACGTTTATGTATATTTCATTTTGAGTTAGCAAATACCAACTTTTTAACATTATTCCAACATTTTTTAAGAAATTTATTTAATAAACCCCTTACTGTCCTGAACTTTTTTTTAAGTTTTGCAAACTTTTTTTGTTTTATTTTGGAAAATATCTAAAGTAACAAATAAATTAATATTTATTCAATAAATAAGAGTATTCATTCATAAGGTTGTGTGAATATATTTGCATTTACTTCTGTAAATTTAAGTGTATTCATTTTAATAAACGTGAATAAACGTATAACAGTAAATACAGCCGTATTCACTTTTAAAGTAGTGAATACGGCCATATTTATATTTACAGCTGTGAATACGTATCATGTGTATTTATGTTTGTTTTTATGAATATAAATATATTCGTATTTATATTCAAAAGTGCCATAAATATAAATAGTATTCGTATTTATATTTTTTAATATAAATATACCCATTTCTGACGATAAATAGGAATAAAAGGAAAATTTCCATGAATTTTCAGTGTTAGTTAAGCTCTAAGAGTACATTTTTTATTAGTTAGGAGACTAGTGACAAGAGGTCACTTGATGAAACATGTTTCTGAATTAGATAAAAAAAAATTGCACAACCTGAAATTCAAAGTTCTATAACATCCACCATGTTCACCCGACTTGTCTTCAGCTGACAACTATTTTTTTAAGGCAGCAATTTCTAATCATCCGGCCCAATATGATTTAATACCCATCTAGTTTTATTTAATATAAATTGATACTTTCGAGATTATATTATTACAAAACTCTAATGTGTTACTAAAGGAACATTTCATAATAAAAACTGAAGACTTTCATGACACAAATAAGGTCTAATCTACACTTAGAATATGGATTTTGAAGGTTTGCTAATAACAGATTATCAGAGGTAAAGTGTTAGTTTGTTCTAGTCACCAAAACATTAATATACAGTGACCAAAAAAAGTATTCGTACACCAAATGCTTAAGTCAAAAATCTTTTTATTTATGTTTTCAACATACAGTAACTATAGAAAACTGTGCTTGTTTAATAGCAGCAGGTAGCATCAAAACCTCCCTTGTTATCTAATCTTATTTCACAAAACCTCCCTTGTTATCTAATCTTATTTCACAAAACCTCCCTTATCTCCTCTAAACCTAAGTTATTTCCTAGTTTATTTTTTGTTCCTTGTGTAATCTGTGAGTTAGCATTATTTAATTATGGATGTCATCACATTGTGGGAATTGCCATCTTCACAAGAAGAGGCTATCAAATATTTTCAAGACGCCAGGATATTTGCAAAGGTAAAATATTGTGATGAAGGTCATCAAATGAAGTTCGGAAGGGAAGATTAATTCGATTATGGGGCTCAGCTAAGTGGAGAAATAAAAAACATAGAGGAATTGCAGACAACACCTCGATTCATATTTATGTGAGTTTTTGTGGCGGCGGGAGTTTTTGTGGGGGGCTCACAGAGAAGAGATCCCTTCCTCGCTATTTTAAATACCATAAAACTATTTTCCCTACCAAAATAAATTAAGTTAAAATAAAATTGTTATATTTTGTTTATACTGTTTCTTTTATATGTACATACGTTCTTTATAGTCTTCATAGTGTTTCTTTTATATATACATATGCTGTTTAAGTGGTTTTTTATTATTTCATTTATTCTTGTCTATTTTTTGCCTATTTTTATTATTTCATTTATTTTTATATATATGTTGCAATGTTTTTTAATTATATATGTATAATGCTATGGTTAATTTAATATATATCTTGTAAAATAAAAGTATTTTTTTTATTATTACATTTGTTTTTGTTTTTGTTCACAATTTCAATAATATCAATACAATACAATATATATGAATACAAAAATATACTAATATGAATATAATACAATAAATATGAATACGAAGATATTATCAGTGGCTTATCAGAGTTATCAGTGTTAACGTTATAAACATTGACAGATAGCAGTCGGACACTACCCGCTATTGAACAAGTACCACAACAATTAGAAACTTCAATTAAAAAAGTAAAATTTTATCACTCATATTGTATGAAAAATATTAAAACTTTCAAATATGAAGCGCAAAAAAATATTCGTACATTTAACTAACCCAAAGAAAATATAATAAATGTCAATCTCAATTAATTTCAATATTTTGATGGGTACCCTTTCATGTTTATCACAGTATTGACTCTTCTTGGCATCGGTTCCACAAGCCTCTTGTTCTCAGATCCAATTTCTTCCCAAGCTTTTTGAAGATTGTTTATTAAGTCATTTCGAGAGGAATAAGAATATTTTTGGATTTGTAATTCCAGCAGAATTTTTAATTGGATTAAGATCCGGTGGTTGTGGGGATGTTTTGAGAAGTTTTCAAACATTATAAAGCAACCATTTTCTGGTTTCATGGCCATGGCCGTGTGCTTGGGATAGTTTTCCTGCTGAAAAATATATTTATTCTCCATCACTAACTTTCACACGCTTTTATTTAAATAATCGCAACATGTTCATATTTTTGTCAGCATTCATAATCCCATAAATAAAGACTAGTTCAACTCCAATTCCTTTGGCATCCATGCAGCTCCAAACTATGACACTGCCCTTTCCCTGCTTCATTGTGGGTTGTAAATTTTGATGCCCTTTTTTTTTCTCCAGACATATTTTTTTCAGTCAGATCCTAATATTTTATACTCACTATCATCCGAAAAAAAACCTTTTTCCCAAAACCTGTTCGGTTTATTTACATGTTCTCGGATAAACTCCAATTTTTGTTTTCTGTTTATTTATAAAAGTTTTTTTTCTTACAACTCTACCTCAATAGCTCTTAATGTAGCTGATTCTTCATGGTTTGAGGTATTACAGATTTCCCATAAGCTGAAGCAATGTGAGCCGAAACATCTCGAGCACTTAATTTGGGAATTTTTGCCAGTTTAAGCACAATTTCACGAGATTCTCACAATGTCAATAAAAGTTTTCTCTCTGGGCGGGATTTACTCTTCACTGATCTGGATTTAAATTTTTTTATAATATATTTCAATGTCGTATGAGTTAGTCTGAACTTGTTTCCGATATACCGCAAACTTAAACCATGTTGAAAATATTTTACAATGTAATCTTTTAGATGAGAACTCAATTCTTAGGACCTACGACCCATTGCCTAAGAATATTTTTTAATACTGAAATAAAAGCAATTTCTCATGCAGTTTTATCGTCCAATCCTCTAAAGTAATGGATTATAAATAGAATGTTAAAATACAGTTTTAATAACATAAATTGTCGTATCATTAATTTTTGCTCTTGTGTACGAATACTTTTTTGAATAAAAATTACTGAAATATTAATGTTATAAAGGTTGTATGAGATTTTAAATTTTTGCATTACATTATATTAACACAAAATGAAGTTTATAATTGATATCTGTCATTATTTAAAGTTTAAAAAAATTATAGTGAACCATTTTGGCCAACAAACGGGGTGTACGAATACCTCTTTTGCCCACTGTTACTTCAACCTAATGATATCATTTAGTTGGAGGAGATGGTTACGGACTGCATTTAATGTAAATTAAAAGAGCACTAATGTTATCAGCAGATTTCTGCTGATAAGGCTCTCATGAGTGAGTAGAGTGAGTCCACTAGTGAACATAGTTGTCAACAATCGACTGTTTTCAGAATTCATCCCACAGAAAGATTGGTGTCCTCTTGACCCATCTGTCAACCAAACTTGACACTTCTAGACTAGTACCACTAACTATAACAGTTTGATAATATAAATACAAACATGACCTGTAATTTGAATCCACCTAACAAGGAATAAATATTAAAAATCTGATACCACCTGCAGCTTAAAAATGTTTTAATGTCTATTCAATAGTCAATAGACTGTTTAGATTAATTAAGGTGGACAAATGCATAGAATTCTTTGAAATTTAATACAAAATTAATGAGAAAAATCTGAATAAATCAGAAGTAAACTGATGTACAAGTATTTTTTTTTTATCAGAAATGGCAAAATGATGGATTGCTTCACACCAATATGCAGAAAATTTCTCTACAACTTCATTAATAGATGGCAGAAAATAAAATTTGTTCTGAGAAAATAAATAGTGAGAATGGAGCAACTATTTATAGTTATCAAAAGATGTTAACAGAAGAAAAAGAAAAACTTACGTTTAGAAGTTATATCATTTTCAAAAAAACACCGGTAAAAACTTTAACCATTTTGCTAAAGAGCTAATTGACACTAATTCTTCCTTTTTTTTTAAACAATAAACAATGTAAAATTTATACTACATTAATATTAAATTTTTTAAAACTTCAAAACAATGTTACCAAATTGCAACCTATACTTGGTTACAACCTTAAACAGAAACAAGGAAGTATATCGTGTATTTCACAGTTCAACTTTCTCTAACTTCCAAATTAGAATAAATTAAGAATTTATGTTGAGAATGATTTGATGACTATTTACTTTTATATTATAAGTAGTAGCCATAAACTTAAGGTTTTGTTTTTCATCTATGAACTACGCTTCAACAGATCGGATCGGCGAATTTTGTTCTTCTGGTAGCATACACATCGGACAGGATGTCCGAGCCTGTTGTGATGAGCGTCGCTTCGCTCCAAGTACTGAACGTTATGGGTTCGATTTCCACCTGATACAGTTAATATAAATTTCTTTGGTACCCCCAGAAATGAATCTTTACACTCCCACTCTGGTCAGTAGCTGGCAGCCGTCATGGTTGTCCAAAAAGGCAAAATTACGTATGAATATATACGTAACGCGTTTTGAGAGTGGCCAAGCCATAAAAATATATGGTTATCTAATAAAAAATTCATGATCCATCTAAAATATCTATCCTTATACGGACAGCTAATGTATAATTTATCATAAATATCTTATAAAATTCACTCGAAATATTAGGGATGAACCAAACTACGAATCTTAACCACTCTGTCAACTTTTTAAATAGATTGAGAAAGGATTATAGCAAAACTAAAATTAGTTAAAAATGAATTTGTAAAATATCGTATAAAACAAACTGAATTCGTATTAAAGGCAAATATAATTACAAAGTCACTAACATATTAAACACTGGGGCTAATGCCTGTTCTCTCTACTGATATTATCTTTGGCCACGATTTACACAAAACATAGAATTAGCTTTCGGAGGATCTAAGCCAAGTCCTAGCATAAGTGCACTGTCCTGTGTTCAAATCCCACCTGATTCACTTTTCTCTCGCCTAAGCTCAAACTGTAGGTCCATAGCAATAATATATCTGCGTCCAACACTGGGATTGCTTCGCCGCTCGACGGGGAAATAGTTAATAATAAATAAATAAATAATACATGCCATTCTCATGAAACCAACAACATACTTGAGGTGTTGACGAAATATGATGGCCATTTTCCATAGCCAGGATAAATTGGTGTAATCTTTTAATAGTTCACATTTTTTATAATTTTAGGATTATAAAACATGTGAGCCACTGAAACCTTCTGCCGATTTTTATCGATATATTTTTACTGGATATAGTTGATATTATATTGGCATTTCAAAATTTTGGTCACATTTAGACATACATTTTTTCGAGAAAAAAAATAAGAGAAATGGCGTGTTTTTCGACTTCTTAGCGATCTGTATAGTTCTTTTTATTGATGAGTATGAATGCTAATGCTAGCATAAATAGTCATCAACACAACCATAAATACGTTATTTAAAAAATATATATATTTTTCTCTCTTAGAACATTAATCAGGTAACGCCAGAATATAATAATTAAATTTTATATATTATGATTAAATAATTGTATTGGTTTTTTTTGTGTGTGTTTTTTTTTTAATATTTGACTTAATTTCTAATATTGAATTGAACGGAGTTGTTAAGCAATAAAAGCTTCATACAGCGTTTTTAGGATTATTTTGGGAGTGTGAAGCTAATAAGTGAGTAAAGCTTACTTAGATTTTGAAACTGAATTATTTTAAAATATTCTCAAACAAAGTGCTATCAAACTTGACTCATTGTAAAAAGTTTGATTGAAATTGACTAATCTTTCTGCGAAAACTAATACACAAGGAAGTGGGGATATGGGGAATAAATTAAATAATTGTTCTCTATATTAAAGAGGAGAAAGATTCAGATCTAAATAAAATTAGAAATAAAAAATTGAAGCGTTGTTACTTCTGGTCAGAAACCAGAGCAAAATTATCCTTTCCTTTCCGCTTTACCTAACTTTTTAAAATTTTATAGGAAGTGAGGATCAACACCTGTGACCAGGGGTGCCCAGAGGGGGTTTCATGGCGCAAACTACGACATAAAAACTTTTGAGGAGGGTACATTTCAACAAGATCGTTAATTTTCGAAATGAAAAGTTTCGAACAAGGGGACAGTGCATCTTGGGATGGGATGCATCACAGATCTTGGGATGGGAAGGGAGGAGAGAGAAATTCATTCGCCATTGACATGGGGGGATGGGCACCTATGCCAGCGACACTCATTAAAATGGGTCTGTTAGGTGATGCGTAAATCAATTTTTTTTTTATATGAATATCGATATTAGGCCTCATATAGTTTCTTAGTTTTAAAGCTTCCTCATTAAACAGTTCAAGATATACAAACAAAATTGGTTCACCTCTAAAAAACGTTGATAAATGGGGTAGAAGAAAGAAGTGAATTCACTTTTGACTCGCGGCTTTAAAATTATCAGCTATTGTGTACTATTTTTTTGCTTTCCAGAAAAAATCAAGGACGAAATTAAGATTTAATGGGTTTTTGTATGTTTCATAAGAAAATGAATGAATGAAAATAATTTTATTATTCTGGGACTAGTGTCCCTTTAGAACAAGTCACAAATACAGAATATATATTAATATTTTAGTGTGTCCATGAAATACAATTTAATATTCACAGGTTGATTCGGAGTACAATGAAGTTATAAATGATAAAAAGATATAAATACGTATAAATATAATATATACCGAGAAAGTAATTAAGTGAACGAAATATCGATGAATTACAAAATAATCAGAGTATCTGGGTGTACTTGGAGGTTTTTACAGCTTAGGTTTAGTGCATTTCGTGATCAATCGGATTGGGAATGGAGTAGGTGTTCGAAGAGGAGAGATTTGAAAGAGGATATCGATTATGCGTGTCGAATATCTGAAGGTATAGAGTTCCAGAGGGAAACAACTTGTTTAAAAAAATGATGTATCAAATGCAGTTCGGTGAGGAGGAGGATAGAGGTCGGACGCACGGGATCTAATGGGACGGGATTGAAAGGAGCGTCTGAATTGTAGGATCTGTAGAATATAGGCAGGTCGCCGTGTTGTAATGGCTCGGTATAGGAAGGTAGCCAGGAAATAGTGACGGCGGTAGGACGGATAAAGCCACTTCAACTTGGTGTAGAACTGGGTAATATGCGTATACCTTAAGATCCCGAAGATAAAGCGGATTGAGCAACTCATTAAACGTTTAAGTTTGGCTTCGAGTTCTCCCAAGAGTCCACCATACACCATGCAGCCATAGTCTAAGTGGGAGAAAACAAGAGAGGAGACCAGGAGTTGACGGGTTTTGAACGGAAGAAGATAACGTAGATAGTTAAACTGTTTCAGGGTGGATATAGTACGGCGGGAAATTTGGGAGATGTGTGATTTCCAGGAGAGGCTTTGATCGAGGGTAACGCCTAGGTTTTTAACGGTAGTATGGAAGGAGATAGGTGAGTTGTCCAGAAGAAGATTAGGAGGTGTTGAAATGGATTTGAGGAGTGAGGGGGGATCAGGATGGCTTTTGTCTTCTCCGTATTCAATGTCAGCTTATTAAGATTTGCCCATGCGCATATTCTATTGATGTTTTGTTGCAGTTTCAGGATGGCATTAGAGGAATCTGTCGTGTTGAAGGAAAGATAAATTTGGACGTCATCGGCGTATAGGTGATATTGACAGTGTATGATAGAGGAAGGCAGGTCATTAATGTAGATGGAAAAGAGGGTGGGGGATAATGAGGAACCTTGTGGGACGCCTCTGGACAGAGGTAGAGACATTGATTGAGGGTTATTAGGAACTACAACGTACTGGGAGCGATCGGTGAGAAAGGATTGGAACCACTTAAGGGTACTGAATGATAAGGATATATTTTTAAGTTTGGTTAGGTGGATAGTATGTTCAACTGAGTCGAATACTTTAGAGAAATCAATAAGGATCAGGATGGTGAGTTTCTGTTGATCTATAGGCAAAATGTGCACAGATCAATGATTGACCTTGAGGCGTCTACTTATTTTTCAGGAAAACAAAAAAAGATCGCTCTTTAAACCGCCTCTTAGTTCAATTGATTGTTGTTCTATTCCTGGTCTGAATTTTACCTGAGACTGTATCCAAGAACCGGAACTTTGTCTGTAAACTTTAAGGATAGGGAGAGTTGTAAAAAAATAAAGGGGATGTGTGACACCTGTCAATCAGGCCTGTCGATGGAGTGTTGGGCTATATGATGAAGAGTCCCAAAAAAATGATTATGAAAGTATCGACAATGACATATTTAAAAAATCCTTATTTGCTGAGATCTGTGCACGTTTTCTTATGAAACATTCTAAAACTCATTCCGTCCATGAAATTTTCCAGAAAGCAAAAAAATAGTACACAATAGTTGATAATTTCAAAGCCGCGAGTCAAAAGTAAGTTCACTTGTATAGATAAAGAACCAACTAGTGTTCCTAACCCATAGTTTATAAATATTCCGACTATAAATGTGTTAGAAAAATAAAAACAGAAATCATATAATTACAACTATTTAGCATTCATATCAAACATTTTATAAAAAAAAAAAAAAAAAAATAGTAATTATTATGAATGTATAAATATATATAATAAGAAGATAATTTTTTCTAATATTTCTTATTTTTCAGATCAAGGAAAAAAAAAAAAAAGATGTTTGAATTATATATTTATTTTCTATAAACATGATTAGTTCGTTATTTTGAAATATACAATAGTAACAAAAATATATGTACATATAATATCAATTACAAAAAGAACAAAAAAAATAAATAAAAAAATACTATTAATATTAAAACTAGTCACTCTTCTAATCTCAAACAGCAACATTTAATGAATTAATAACAAAATTGATCAATAGAAAAAAAAACATGTTATTAAAGTACAAGCTTATTAATATGTTTGATATAATATATTATTTGCAATTATCTGCCAAATCACTTAGCTGCTGTAAATCTAATAATGAAGAAAAAGTAAGGAGGAATTATAAATCAATCACAATGTATAATACAGAAAATGTCATTTCACAATCAGTTGTTAAAAGTAAATACAAAATTAAGTGTTTGCTCATATATG